ACACTGTTTGTCTTCAGCCGCTCCCCGACCTTTGGGAAATGAAGCTCAATCAAAACACCATCTTGACTCAAACTGCAACTCTATTTTCATATTTACAAGATAAAGTGAACAACAGAGAAGACATCAACAGTCTCAGATTTAAAATAAGAAGAAAAGAGTCAACTAGTCAAATTTTTGACGAAGTTGTAGGTGAACGTCATCCGCTAATAGATTTCATCAGGCCCTCAAATGTTTCCAGACTGCTTCAAAAAGATTTGAGACTTTATTTCTACACTGCATCTTCTATTATTCTCTCACATAATCTTTATACTTCAAACTGTGAACCCTGCACAAGTGCACAGCTCTTTCCTTTTAAAAAATGATATATGGTGCACTGTCAATTTTCCTGTTTTATTCACTTTTTTTCCCTTTTGCAGTTCTTGCTTTTCATCTTTTTTATTTTCCCTGACTGTGATTGTTGTACTAAAACTAGTCGTGCGATTAAAAAAAATTAATCTAATTAATAACATGCGCTGTGATGAATTAATCTAAATTTATCACATACATCAATCTTTGCAGTGAAAGTATTTAAAATTTTTATTCAAATGAATTTTGGCAGACCACCAAAACCATTTTGTATGGGAGTTAGTTAGTCACGGGTGGACCTACTCAGTTTGTGTTTAATCACCTGGTTGAGTGCGGCTTGATGAGGCTGGTTGCTTGCGCTAGCATCACAGGCTGTGCTAGCTCGGACCTCCAGGTTCGCTGCTAAATGCTTTGCATTGAGGTAATATTTCAGGCTTGAAGTTCTCCAATGGTATTAAAATTCCTCACTGCAGAAACTTTAGAAGACGGTGCTCCTATCAACAGTTCCATGTGGGTGTTTTTTAATTGTATTTGTTCGATTCAGGGGGCCAAGCAGCGTCGTTCCATCTGCCACCATCCTATGACAAAGCCACTGTGGTCTCCAATGACACATCAGGTCAAAGGGCACCACTGAACACGATTAATCGGTGTTAATTTTTTTTAACACGTTATTTTTTTCCTGTCAAGATAAGTCAAGTCAAAGTTTATTTATAAAGCACATTTAAAACAACCTCAGTTGACCAAATGGCTGTGCAGTTACTAAGATACAATATAAATAATCAAGCACAAATACAGTAATAAATAAAACAGTAATAAGAAATTTAGAATAGTAATTTAGAAAGTAAGTAAGTTTGACAACCTACGTGCCCTGGTCGTAGTGTGAGGCTGAACAAGCTCCGATAAATAAGATGGTGCCAAACCATTTAAACATTTAAAAACAATTAATAAAACTTTGAACTGGATCCTAAAAGTAACGGGCAACCAGTGCAAAGATGCAAGGACTGGACTAATGTGATCACGCTTTTTCTTTCCAGTCAGCAGGCGGGCGGCTGCATTTTGGACTATCTGTAAATGACGCAGTGCTGACTGGTCGAGACCAACGAACAAAGAATTACAGTAGTCTAAGTGTGATGTAACAAAGGTATGGATAACTCTCTCAAAATAATTTCTGGGGAGATACGCCTTTACTTTTGTTAATAGTCTCAACTGAAAAAAGCTTGTTTTGACCATAGAGCTTCTTTGTTTGTCAAATCTGTAAAATCACTGTCTAAAATAAAACCAAGCTTCCTTGTAAAAGGATGACAGTGAGACTTAAGGGTCCCAATGGCACTGTCATAGCCATCCAAGAGGTTTTGATGGCCAAATAAAATTATCTTAGTTTCATTTTTGTTCAAGGAGAGAAAGTTTACTTCCATCCAGGACTGGTTGTCATTGAGGCAGTCTAATAAAACCTGGACAGAGGCTTGATCATTTGTTTTTAACGGCAGATAGATTTGTACATCATCTGCAAAGCAATGAAACGAGACATTGTGCTTTCTAAAAATAGATCCCAAAGGTAGCATGTATACTGAAAAAAGGAGAAGGCCCAGAATGGAACCCTGAGGCACCTCACAGCTCTGGGGGGAAATGGCCGAAGAATACTGGCCCAGCTGGACAGAAAAGCTTCTATCTGAGTGGTAGGATTGAAACCACTTCAGAACAGTACCCCTAATGCCCACACAAGTCTGTGATTAATTAATCAAAAAGAATGTGTTATTTTGACAGCTCTGTTTAAAAAAAACAAGGAAAAATGATTAATCTGTTATTCGTTTAAGCAATTTTTTAAGCCAAAATGCTGCTTTTTTTGTTGTAGGAGATAATAAACTCATATCTGTAGATGATAAAATGTTGGCCGGAAAAATAAAGCAATATGATGTTACTGCTTTGGGTTTTAGAGAACTGTGATGGCCAATTTTTATCATTTTATAGACACAACAGCAATGAAAATAGTACTAAGTTGCACCCCTGGTTGTGTACCTGTCCAGCTGATGAATCTAAGTCTAATATTCACTCTCTTTTAGCTCTGTTTTAGTCTGAGTTAACATCTAAATGCTAAATGATGGTCACAAGTTAGTCTTTAACGGTTAGTGCACAGTGGATTTACGTATGTTTTTTTGGTGAAAATAGCTACATGAGTCTGGAAATTCGTTTGATGAGAGCAGTGAAGAGTGAACCAGAACAGTTAAACTGCGAGCTGTAGTTGAAAGATGCTAAAAGCTTTGCAGAGTTTGGTGATAACTCTCTTCTCCATGGGTTCATCACTACAGACAACACCTTTCACATCCATGTGCTCATTAGTTCCATTGTTCATATAAAGGTCTTTATTAAAGCAGCTTAAGTTTCCTTGAGTTAACATTAAATCCCTTCTTCCAGTCTCTAACTTGTAACCTCCGACCCCGCCATGTCAAACACAAAAGCCAACAGATGACGCATGCCGGATAAAATTTGCTGCGGTGTGCATCTTTGCGTGTTTGAACGCAGCTCCAGCACAAAGCTGAGCCAGCCTGCAGCAGCAGGACAAACATCTGGAAGTGTTAAAACTCCTGATGACTGCAGCAGAATCCCATGGCGGCCAATCACAGCTTCACTTCCTGGGTGCTCTTTGCCAATCAGGAAGCTGGCCAGAACAGATGGGCGGTCCTATTAGAGTTATAGAGACAGAGGGAGAGTTTGGGGTAAGAGAAGAAGACAGAAAAGAGACTTTTTTATGCGTTTTTAAAACGGAATACAAAGAAAGCAGTCTTTTCTTTTTGGAGAATATTTTACAAACGCGTCATTGTTTAGTTTCTCTGGACGCCACAGGAAGTCAAGCTGACCTGATTATCAGTTTGGGGTGTGAGGAGAAGAAGAGCAAAGGAGGTAGGGGATGGTGAAACAGTTCAGCTCTACGCCAGAGAGAAAGAAACTACTTTTGTCTTTTCATTCAGGTTCTGAGGTTCAGCTAAGGACACGTCAGTCCACAAGATTTTTACTTTGTCTTTTTTATTGTTGCTACTCACTGTGACGTTTCTAAAGATCACCTGTCAATCAGAGTCGACAAAGACTTTGACATCCTTTTCCCTTGAATTCCTCTTTGGATGTAGGTCCTGTTGGTGGCGCCATTTTCAGTGTGTGCTCAGTTCTTCTTCTGTCGAAAACGCGTCACTTCCTGTGCGGTAGAGTCTTGCTTTTCATTGCAGAACCAAACTTTGGTTTTGGGATTTTAACATAATTTAAACCTCTTTTTCAGGATGTCTGTAGATACCTTAAAAGTCTTAAAATATCTTAAATACAGTTTTATGAATATAAGGCCTCAAAAGTCATTAGTCTTAAAATTAAAATTGTCAATCTGTCTTTATTACCACAACAGTTTACCTAATTTTATCTGTCACTTTATACTTGCACCTGTCTAATAGTCTAAAGTTGTAAAATATGAAAAAATCTGTCCAAGCATTAAATTCCTAAACTTTATGATACTTGATGCTGTGGAGTCGGACACACAGAAAACAAGTTTGGATGTACAGACGTGTAGCTTCTTTGCATATGACGTCTAGATGAAGGATGGGCAACTTAATACCTGGTTCTCACTTCACGATATCAGCCCAATCATAGCGTGACGCAGCGTCGTACAGTGTCGGCTCGGATCGTGAACAACAATGAGCGTGGTACGTGATAATCCATCGTTTCATCTCTTGTAGTGTGTCATAGTAGACGACAACCGACGCCACGTTGGGACGCCTCAAGACGTTCCAACAGACAGTCTAGCATGTTTGATTTTCTTTTTGTTGTACACGACTGCTTCCGTCACAGCCGTCACTTTGACCAGTAGGAACACAGAGCAGTTTGCTGCCATAGACAACTGTATGAGAACAGCAGCCCAGGGTTTTTGATATTTCCTCTAGGGATGTTACCACACACAGTAAAAAGGGAAAATAATGGTGTGAAACAGCAGAGGCATTTTGTCAACCTGCTGAGTTAATGTTACTGCCATTAGCACCAAGCTAGCAAACAATGTTCTTTCTTCATAATGGAGGATATAAAGGAATAAAACTAAAAAATAGAGGCGGGGCTTTTACTCACCACAACTGCAGAGGCTACTAGCTTCATTTAATCCCTCTGTATTTTTATATATTTACTTTTAATGTGCTCCCGTTGCCTTGATAATGTTAACGCATTGCGCCGTCATTTCAAACTCATCACTTCCTGTGTCTGTTTCACATTAAAAGCCCCTTATAACTTTGGTTGAAATAATCCCTTCATTTTCTAAACAGACTTTTATTGTGAAACATTTGCAGCCATCTGTTGGCACTTTTTACAACATTTCGGCTGGCACATGAACAGACACAGTGACTGAAATAATAGTAACAATAGTAAGAATAGCACAAGAATAAGCTTCACACACGTCGTGAAAGACGACCAGGGATGATTGGTGTGGACTGTTGTGCAGTCTGTCGGCCAAGTCACAGCACAATTATATGACTCCGCAATCACCTAATGTGACATGGTGACTGTTGAAACAGACAAAAATGTTGTGTGGTGTGAACCAGGCATAACGCAAAGACGACCAACACATCACGCGTCATTAATGTCATGTATTTGCAAATAAGCTATTAATCACAGTCTCTTTCTCTTCCCAGGTCGTCCTGAGAGACGTAAGCCAGAGCATCGTCACAGGTAAGACTTTTTTTTTTTTAACTCTTTTTTTCCTCTTTTTTGGTCTCACCTGACCGTTTGGCTCAAGATGACTAACTGTTACCAGCAGGTGCTTTTAATGTGACACACATGGAGGAGGAGTGAGGGTTTTGGCCGAGGAGGTGCGTTTGATGTTGAAATCCAGGTGACTCAGACAGCTCTTTGAAGTTAATCAGTGATATTTAGTGTGTTTAAACCCGCTTTTTAAAAAAGCTAAATATATCTCTACAAACCTGCAGTAAATGTTTTCTGCCATCAGACTCCAGTTTGGGACCATTTTCTGCAGTGTCCTCACAGACTTGCAGGATCTACTTTCTCCCCTTTGGTCTCCGGGTCTGACACACTCCTGAAAGTATTTGGGCTGTTGGCCGGTTGGCATGGCAACTAGCTGGAGAAGTCACAGAGTTTAAAGACTCTGTGTGTGTGTGTGTGTTTATGGGAGAATTGGAGCCTCAGATTGAGTCTGTCTCACGTAAAAGATGGTAACGGGAGAAGAAGACTGACCGTAAGATGGTTGTGAAACACCTAGTGCACAAATAAACAGCTGACTGCTCGTATTAGTCTGCATTAAAAAGGAGCAGGACAAAGTTCGAATCATTTTTGAGGCCTTTGTGTTATTTGAATAAATATAAGATTAGGTCAGTTTGCGTGTGTTTTGCAGGCATCCTCACAGGAGTTTCCCTTCACCAGAACACATGTTTAAAACTGGTCTGCTCCCAAAGTCAGCTGTGGAAAACAACCAAATCCTAACTCCAATAAAAAAAACCTGTGTAGCTAAGCTTTCCCCTTCAACTGTTACTAAACACTTCCTGTAGCTGTGTCACATTAAAAACCATAATCAGCAGTCTTTTCCTGAAAGGTTTTCTCACTGTGAAGCAGCTTCAGGAAATGTTGACTTTGCTTTAACATGGCAGTAGTTCTGTTCTCAAACAGCGCTTTGTTCCTGCGATGCATCTGCCAATTTTTATAATTCTTATAACTCTGAAACTGAACTTCTCTCATAGAGGTCCCTGTTAACAACAACAATTGCGTTCATATATTTTTTTAAAATTTGCAACAAATATGCATAATGGCAAGCTAACTGCGCTAAATACGGATCGGAAATGTGTAACGACATTTTTTGCCGACACTAGATATAAAAAAAACAGAGCAGATTGGAATGTCGCTTTTCTACATGTTTAAATGTTGCTCCACTGGTGTATTGATAAAGTCTTGACTTTTTCCTCATGGAGGTTTTATTGCACTCACAGTAACAAGCGTAGTCATCAGCTCAAGTTATTTTCACCTCTCGGTCTCCTCTGTGGCATCTCTACTCTTTGTGTGTGTGTGACCACAGATGGCAGGAGGAGCGGCTGCTGCGGCACGATGACACCAAAACAAAAAAACAGTGAGCTAACAGTTACAGATGAAACAGCCGGTAATGTCTGAGCTTCTCACGACAACAGTTCTTAATAATTTAGTGCCGGTGCCTGTTTACTACCGGTGAGATTAATGTGGTTAAAGCTCCACACATATGTAGGAAAAAGCGTGTATTAAAAGATCGACCTTGGATTTTATGAATCAAAATCCAGTCATTCAAATGAAGGTCGATTTGAATTGGATGAATCGATTATTTTAACCCAGCCTTAGTGTTCACATTGATTTTCTCAGACGGGAACTCATTTTTCCAATAATTTTGACATCCCATAAATTGCAAAATGCGCTCCCATTAGGTAAAGTAGAGCTTCATATTTTATAAAAAATATTGCTGACACGTTTCAAGGTCTTCCGTAGAGCGTGAATATTGTTTAACGACAAGTCACATGTACAAGACAATAAAGTCAGTAGTTGGGTTTCCATCCTCCTATTTTTATTCACAATTTCAACAATTGCGGGAAAAAAAAAAACCTTGAATGGAAACGCCAGAAATTTGAAAAAAGGACGCAATATCGCAAAAAATATATTATTAATATATTACTGCTCAACCTGTTGACTCCCAATGCTCGTAAAACAATAATGAATGGAAACGTGCATAAATTCGCATTTTCTGGGCCGTCGGTAGCGTAGTGGATAGTGCCGGCGCCCCATGTACAGAGGTGATGCCTCGCTGCAACGGTCGCAGGTTCGACTCTGGCTTGCAACCATTTGCTGCATGTCACCCCCCCCCCCACTCTTTCTCTCACCCCATTTCACTCTGTCCTGTTCATTAAAGGCAAAAGCCCGAAAAAATAATCTTTTAACAAAAAAAAAAAATTCTCATTTTCTTTTGCGCTTTTTCACAAAATTCGCTTAGAATTTGCGATACATTTGTATGGAAACCCAGTTAGTGAGCTAATTAAATACAGGTGCACAGTGGACTACGCCTAAAACGACCAGGCCTGGTAACCCTAAAGTCCAAAACACATCGGCGGCATCACAAGACGGCGGCGTCATTGACGCAAGTCAAGTGCCGCCCCCAACACACACAGAAAGCGCCGCACTGCGGGGCGTCAACCGGGATTCTATCACACACTCCACTCCGCTAGGTAGCGGTAATGTGACTAGCTGGTTGCCAACTGCCAATTAGAATAAAAAAACGAGGAAGAAGACGCAGGAAGAGAAAGAAAACACACAACGCAGGATGACCACAACACCCAGACAATGACGGTAAAACAAATGATAGATGGCGCCAAAGTTCTTCATCTCTGCTCTTCAACAGAGCTGCTACTACGGGAGCTGGGAAGTGTTCCTTATTAGCCTGCTCTTTGTGTTCTTCAAACTATTAATTTTGTCACTTTTTGTTCAACTTAAAGCCGCTACAAGGAACTTTTAACTGGATATGCAAAAGTCTCTCGTTTCTGCTGATGTCTGTGCGTGACCTACAACAGCAAATGAGACCATCGGTGTGAAGATAAGCTATTTCTATATAGTGTATATCCATACCTTTAGGAAACTGTCTCCGGGTCCACCCCAGGTCGCTTCCAGGACGAAACGATTTACAGCACTCAGACGGCACACGTCATCTTACCTAGCTGCTTACATTTATAGTGACTCTTATAAATAATCGCTATTCCTCCTCCTCGACCCGACGTCCACGGGGAGTTAAATAGCAGCAATCATCGGGTAAAAGTTCTGTGAAAGCACTGGACTCACCAACAGTCTCAGTCACACAGAGAAAATCCAATCCTCGGGAAGTCAGGAAATCCTTCAGGATAAACGTTTTGTTCGCTAGCGATCTAGCATTTACCAGCCCAATCCTGGCAGGAGCCAGCGGATCCACGGCGTTAGCTGTCCAGGGAGCTACACACAGAGGCCGCAGGTTGCGCAGATTCACCCCACGGCAGCGTGGACTAGTAGAGCATGGGCCGCGGGGCTGGAACACCTCACCCGGGCCGAGGACAGGTACCAGCCAGGCGTCGACAGGGTCCAGCGAGTGCCGAGAAATAAAGAGGCGAGGCACCGCTCCATACTCAGTCCAAGAAGCCGTGGAAGTGCTCGCCAAACACGCCTTCAGCCTTACCAGCCGACCACTGCGTTTACCCCGGCGATGGTGGTGCTTACACCGGAGAGGTGGAGCTGGGGTGCGGCAGAGGTGAGCTAGGATCCCCGATAAGAGCGGGGGCAAAGTTTTCCCGTCTTGTTGTTTCATTCATCCCCAAAACAAACACATGCGAGAGCCAGGTAAGCGTCTTTACGACAATACGCGCTAGAGCTCATGGGAAATGTAGGCTTCATTCTGGCAAAACACTACCGCTTTTGTCCACAGGGTCGCCAAAATCAACTCAAAATTAAAGTTCCTTGTAGGGGCTTTAAGTTTGAAAGCGTACAAGCCAAGAAAGATTGTCTGAATATGTGTGACATTATCCCTATTCGTATGATTCATCAGTCTTTTTTTTTTTTTTTTTTTTTTTTTAAAGATATTTTTTGGAGCTTTTTGCCTTTATTCGATAGGACAGATGAAGGGGGGGATGACATGCAGCAAAGGGCCACAGGTTGGAATCAGACCCATAGCTGCTGTAGCAAGGAAACAGCCTTTGTACATGGGGCTGGTGGGCACCCCATGATGTCTCAGTCTTGTCCTTATCTGTGAAGACATATTACTTACCTCACTTTAAGTGCTGGCACCTAATCAGCCCCTCACTTTTCTTGCTGTTCAGCTCAGTCCCTGCCTGAACTGCTGGACCATCACTCGCACACACCCCAAAATGATGTAACTGGGAAAAAGGCTCAAAACTTTGCCAAACAGAAAAACTGCATCAGCAAAAAAGGGTCATTGTTCAAAAAGTCGACTCTCGCCAAACTCTGACTTCACAAAAACACAAACTTCAGCCTCAAAAACGACCAGCGAGTTAAATTAATACCAAACCAAATCAGTGTTTTTTGTTTTGTCCAACCTTTTTTTTTTTTTTTGGACAGAGAGAAATGGAAAGAGGAGGATACAGAGGAGGCTGTTTTTCCATCACTGTTGAAAGTAAAGCAGTGAGTTTTGTGTGTGTTTGGGCAGTGTCAGGGGTGAGTCATGAGTGTCTGTTCATGGTTAGCAGCTCTGTGGCAGAAAGAGAAAGAAAGAGCAAGAGAGACGGTCAGAGACAGAGACAACAGACTGAAAGACGATTAAAAAGTGAGATACAGAGATACAGACGTCTGACCTCCTTCTGTCATCTGGGTGAGTCTGTTGATTCCTAACCTGCCTAGCAACAACTACCTCTCTGTATAGATAAAGAAAAGTAGTCGTGGAGCTCCTTAAATATCTCCGGTCAGGGGGATTTTCCTAAATGTCTTCATGAGAATTTAGCTAAATGTGCTATCAGCAGATTCTTCACAAATCGCAAAGGAAGAAGGTATTTAGCTGAAGAATGTACTCCACTGTACGACAAAAACTTCTTGCGATGATGACACAATGACAATGACATATTTTGCTTTTGTTAGACTCTAAAAAGGCGTCTATACTGCGCCGTTAAGGACACGAAAAACTGCGTCATTGATCTTGTCAGGGCTTTAAGGCTGTCACTGTTTTAATCATTTATATTTGTAATGATTGTACCTCTCAGTAGCTCCACACTTACAACAGATGTCTGTAAGTGTTTCTCCTCTGGGATGTGAAAAGGCTTTTTCCACTCTCTTATCAGGATGTGAACCAGACCACATCCTGTGTCTTCTTCATTTTCCTCTCATGAGGATGACCTCTTGTGTGGTTGCATTGTATGTGCGTCCTTCTTTTTCTCACTACTCAAAGCATCGACTGGACCTGTTGTGTCGTGTTATTTCACACTCAGAGGCAGTTGGAAACTGTAGAGCTGTGTCCGACTCAGAATTATGTCAGTTGAATCAGATTCAGCTGCTAAGTTTCAGCGGGACGCTCAGTGTGACAGTGGGATTTATGTAGAAGTTGATTTCTTTGGCCTTTTGCCTTTATCAGATAGGACAGTCTAAGTGTGAAACGGGGAGAGAGTGGGGAGGACATGCAGCAAAGGGCCGCAGGCTGCAAACCCGTGGAAGCTGCAGCAAGGACATTGTCTTTGTATATGGGACGCCTGCTCTACCCACTGAGCCACCAGGTGCCCTGCGTTTTTAAATCTAATCTGATGCTCTATACTAAGATGAGAGAGCTGTTGCTCAAGGAAGAGGAGAGTTCCGTTTCTGCATGAATTAAGGAACAGTTAAGGTAATCACACATTCACTTTGCCACACAGTGCCTAGAGTGTGCTTCAGTGCTTGGAGTGAGTCTTTTCAAACACAGCCATAGTGACCAAGCTAACGGCGCTAATATTACTGTTGTATTCAGTATTTGTGAGCTGTACATTCACCACTTTAAAGCAAAAGAGAGGAGATAATCTTATCTAAGAGGTTGGGTGGGCATTGTGTCTGCAGCTGTCTGTCCCAAAGAATAGCGTGAAAGTTGAGAGCGCTTTCTCTGAGGCAAAATCTGGGGACCCAAACGTCCCACATAATAAATGTGGCTTGGTTTAGAAGATGATTTGTGATGAAGTGATGTATTGATTAACTTTGCAAACTTTACCTGCCTCTATAAAACAAGTTAAAGGGGCAACAAGTGAAATCGTTACACCGCTAGGTTTGCTGTTGTGCACTGTCTGTAGACCAAAACAAAGTGTGTCATGAGCCACACCTCCCTCTGCCTCTGCTCTCCACCTCCACCCCCCCACTCGCCTCGTCTAAACTTAGTTTAGCAGTTAGCATGTCTTTCACTCACTCTCGGTCTTTGCTGTGTTTCGCTATTCCCCAGCCGACTTCAATGATGATGGTACCTGTAATAAATCCATAGCTGTAAGTTACTCCAGTAGCTGGTGGCAGCCGACTTGGCTAGAGCCAACGCCGGATCCCGGCTAGTGCTAACACCGGGAGCTAACGCTAACGTTCCTACTCTTCTCTGTTAGTGAGAGCGACGTTTTAGCCTGGCTACATTTTACATTGCCAATTGTAAATGTTAGCTGGGCTGCTGGGCTATTTACCTAACATAACCGTAACGCCTGACCCATTGCCGGGACCAAGCCGCTAATAACTCAAGCTCCGGACATTAACCCATGCTGTGATTGTAACATTAAATTTAATTGAATCGACATAGTGACATGTGCCTAACGTTACTGTAACACTGATTAAATTAAAATTAAAACAGACATTTGACTTTATGTTGTTACTTAACGTTACCTGTCCAGGAGAAGAAGAGCTAGCTCTGAGTCAGATTGTAGCCCCTTTAGCTCTCGCAGTGCTCTCCATCTTAGAAATGCAAGGCCAATGTTAATCCAGGTTCTGTCCCTTTCTTTATCCGACAACTTCTTCGCCAACGACTGTTGTTTCTTAAGAGGTAATGTGGGATCCTGGTCGTCTTCAGGTGAACACTTCGTTCCGCTCTCTGCCATTTCACTTCGAAAATACGCGCTGCCATTGCTCACTGGCTGTAGCCTTTTATGGGGAAGGAGGGCTAAGGTCTCCGAGAGGAGGGAGGAGGTGGCGATTCACATGAACGTACATGAACGCGCAGCCGGACCGGCTTGTAAACAATGGGCTGGAGATCAACACAGAGAGAGGGTGTGTGAGGTCATGCTATACTCCAGATGAAATTACACCTCTAGTTCTTCACATAGTGATTTTTTAATTCCTTCAATCTAGAAATTATGAATTTCTGCTTATTGCCCCTTTAACTTGTAACATATTGAAATAAGGGCGTTGTCACTGGCAGTCATCCAGAATTCATAGAACCCTAGTTACATCCATAACTCTCAATTTGTTGTATTTCCCATCTTGGGTGGCACCGACTGACGGCATGTTTTGTAGACTGTCTCAATCTGTGCTTTTTTGCTTTTGAGATGTCCAAACCACAGGGTTTTCCCACACATCATTTATTTGTGGCGGCCTGCCACGATTAAAACATCTGCCGCCACGTTTTGATTTTATATTTCTGGAGCTGGGCCGTTCATTAGGCGTGCCGCTGGAATATATACACCGTTAAGTTAGTTATTGCTCCACATTCTTGCAGAGCAGAGCGTCTGGACAGGGATGGAGCAGCAGAGCGTCAGGCCCAGTGAAAGTGAAACTTAACTGTTCATTGTGCTGGTTAGAAAGTTTCACCTCCATCAGAGGGTTTCACAGAGGAATAATTCCCCCAAAACCTTCAGGCTTCAGGAGGACTATATTCCAGTACCTCGCTAGTGATGTCAGTTTTTAGGCTTTGATGAAGGCCAAAGTGTGTCCTGCAACTTGTTTAGGTTAAGTTTATTTCTGGAAAACTTGTGGCCCCTTTTGGCTGTTAAAAACAGTGAGGAGTCAGCAGAATCATAACGGTTTTTCAACCATTAACATTCACTGCAACCACACAAGGTCCTTGAGCATACAGTCATAAATATGCCCACAAAATTTTAGGCTGATTGGTCCAATAGTTTATGAGATTGGAAACACACTCTCCTCACACACTGTCCCCTCCAGGCTTATTCCTGACCAGATAAAAAACAAAACTTTTGTCTCAGCAGTCAATCGTGCCTGCACTGAGGGTAAAAGATTTTAAATCCGAGAGCCAAGCTGGTGTTCTTGATGTGCCCTGGAGCAAGGCAGTGACCCCTCAGCTTTCTGGACGTGAGGCAGAGGAAAGAAATGTTGGAAGATGACTTCTGCAGACTGTGTGGAGTTTGAGGACTGGGTGGGACGGCTGAGCAGTGTTTGTCACTGGAGAGGGAGGGAGGGAGGAGGAGAAGTGGCAACAGAGGTGAAATAATATGACTCATGATTTCCTTTTATTCTTACCCCCCCCCCCCCCCCCCCTCTGTTTTCTCTCTGCAGCCAGGGTCCTCTCTCATCCATCAGAGCAGCCATTAAGAGAAGTGAGTATTCATCCCCCACCTCCTCAAGTCTCCCTCATTCCTACTTAAGTCTGATGTTTAGATTCACCCCAGAAACCATATAACCTAAAACAACCGGTGCATGAAATGTAATCAGTCTAACTTTGGTATTTTTAGCAAAGCTTGGATTGTGGGTGATGGATATATTCCTGAGTGCATATTGATTTGTCTAACAGAGTTTTGTTGACGTCTGAAGTCCGTTTGAGCTGTGGCCTGGAAAAGTGTGGACTTATAAAAATGGAAAATATGCATTTTGACCTTTTGTGGGGAAATAAAATCCAGCATAGCAACGAAAAGCAGCGACTCCCAACACTGGACTGTCACCACAGCCTTCAGTTTAACCACTTGCACTCGTGTTTGTCCTTTTTAGGTTCCCCTGTGTAGATTTAAAATAGCAACACAGTTTTTATAGTGTACAACACATCACATATTTTATATCTACTCTGATGAGTTCAACACTCAAATAATTTAAAATAAACTCTATAAATGCACAGTACAACCAAATATAAACACAGTCAGTGAAATCGGCAAACAACCTTCCATCTTTAATCTAATATTTAATCTCCTTTTTATCATGTCACCCGCAGCTGTGTCAGGTAAAACTGTGTGTATGCCCGGTCTAAGGAATGTGTGAGGTGTGCACATTCTTCCATTAGAAGTACCGGTTTATGTGTGGAAAAAAGGGGTACGCATAGCCTGCACAGTGTACCCACTGTGGTCATAAAGGGATGGACACGGTCAGCAACAATACTCAGGTAGTCTTCTGCAGAACTTGGTTGGAACCAGTGCTTATTTGACTTCCTGTTGCCTTTCTATCATCTTGAACCAGTCTGGCCATTCTCCTCTGACCTCTGACCTCTGGCATCAACAAGGCATTTTGGCTCACTGGATATTTTCTCTTTTTGGGACCATCCTCTGTAAACCCTAGAGATGGTTGTGCTGAAAATCCCAGTAAATACTCAGACCAGCCCGTCTGGCACCAACAACCATGCCACGTTCAAAGTCACTTAAATCACCTTTCTTCATCATTCTGATGCTCAGTTTGAACTTCAGCAGCTCGTCCTCACCATGTCTACATGACGAATGCACCGGATGTGATTCAGGAGTACGTCTTTGTCAGAGTCGCTGTCTATCACATCATCCATATTTAACTGTTTCCTGTCTGTCTGTCAGCCTCCACCAGGTCAACGTCTCTGTCTGAGTCGTCCAGAGACAGAGACAGAGAGCGGGACAGGGACAGGGACAGAGACAGAGACAGGAGGTAAGACACACTGCAAGAAATGTAACAGCTTAATGAGGCTGAACCGGTGTGCGTGCTCTGTAATCAATTTGTCGAGTCAGGAGAAGGAGGGAGTATTTGTAGTCAACAAGCAAGCGTAATGATTTGTGTTTACAGTAAATAAGCTTCATGTGCGGAGTTTCACTGGGTCCACTGTCAGACACCTTCACCGTGAGTCACATTCTTAGATTTAAACATTCATAAAACCAGTCTTTAATCATCGAGTCATTTGTTTCTGTGGGTTGCCTCCTTCATGTTGAGGTCACAGCTGAGCTCCATTTCCTTTTCATAACCAACTCGGAACGCTGAGGGCTGAACCCCATGTGTGTCGTTGTCTGTTTTTCAAATGGAAACTCCCACTCAGCTGTTCGCAAAAAATGTTGATGGAGGTTACCGCGCTGATGTCCTCCCCTTCCTCACACGCTGTTTACTGATACTGGGTGTGTTTACATGCACACCAGTATTCCCCTATTACCCCAAGTTTGACAGTATCCTGAAACTGCTATGGGTCATATAAACAGCATGAACCGTGGTTATTGGAGATTTATCTTTTATTCTGAATGGACCGCAAGTGACTCGCAAACGTGTCTTTTTTTTTTTTTTTGAAACACACTTTATTTTTAAGTGCAGTGAATTTCAGACACAGAGCTTTTATTTTGAAGTGCTGTTTCCTGCTGTAGAGTCAGGGAGTATGATGCTGAATGTATTAAACTGTGTGGACCTTGAACTAATGACTAAGGAGAAACCTGGACCCCCGTGGCTGGACCAGTTGGGAACCAGTGGTTGTGGCGCACACCTCAAAGACTTCTGCACAGGAAAATAAAAATGTGCAAAATATGAAGTTAAATTCCTGCACGCTGCCAGCAAATGGTGTATGCAAATAATTTTTCCTATTTCCATTTTAATTTGTATTCCATATATCTAGACATGAGATGTCTTAAGGACATTTTATCAATTTACCAATTGATAGTATTTTTTTCATTATAAAATTAAAAAAAATGAAAATATTCAAAAGGTGAAGTTGAATTTTGAAGATTATTATTATTATTTTTTTTTTTTAAAAAACATTTTTGGGGGGGGGGGGCTTTTTGCCTTTAACGTACAGGACAATGTGAAATCGGGAGACAGAGTGGGGGGACGACATGCAGCAAAGGGTTGCAAGCCGGGGTCGAACTCGTGACCGCTGCAGCGTGGCATCACCTCTATACATGGGGCGCCAGCACTATCCACTGAGCTACTGATGCCCCAGTTTTGAAGATTTTAATTTGGAGTAATGTTATAGCCGTAGTCTTTTTATCGTTGGTTTATATTATTTTTTATCCATGGTGATAATTTTATTTATTCTGTTGAATTTTATTTGTTGATTTTTAACATTTAATTGAAATTTTTATGAAAGGTTTTTTCATGAAAGGTGCTATATAAATAAATAAATAAATAAATAAATAAATAAATGTAAGATTTTTGGTTTTATTACAATTTATCAATTATTAGTATTAGTATTTTTTCATAATAAAATGAGAAAATGTGCAAAAGGTGAAGTTGAATTTTAATGTTGTTTTTCATATTATTGTTATTCTATTGAATTTAATTTGTTGATTTTTAAAATTTTATTGAAATTTTTAGACATAGAAAATTTATTTGCATTTATTATATTTTTATTCATTTAATTATTTTGTCTGTGTTGTTAAATTTTGCTGTGTGAAGCACTCTAGGCTGCATGATTTTATGAAAGGTGCGATATAAATAAATATATATTTTTTGAGATTTATAGTTTTATTATAATTTGTGAATACATTACGAAACACAGCAAATATTAAATAAAGTAAACTTGCGTATCTGACGGAAAGAGGGAGGCATGAGAAAATATCTGCAGTGCAAACAGAACCTAAATAATAACAGAAAACAAACAACAAACAAACATAAATAAATAAATAATACAAGTTAAGTTGAATTCCTGCACAGTGTCAGCAAATAGAGAGTGAAATTTTCTTTTTTCTATTTTAATTTGTATTCTACATGTCTTGACAGTAGTGGTTTTATTTTTCATCAGCTATTAATAATTTATTTTATCTGGCTTTCCTTTATTTGATTGGTTGTCGCGGCGTGTGGCTTTAAAATAAAGACGTTTCATATTGTGTTGTATTTACAATAAATTATACAGTGTGCAGGAACCTTTTCCCTTATATATTCTGTTAATTAATCAGGTGACAGAATCATTGACATTTTGGATAATTACTTAAAAGGGAGTTGTTTATTAAGTAAAATTAACATTTGAATCACATTATTTTAAATTGGGCAACCTTGTGTGAAACTAAAGTCAGTTTAAAGACATCTGTTTGGCTCTAAGTGATTTGCGATATTTAAACTCAGTGGTTTGCACCGTACAGTGAAATTCTTAATTGCCAGTCTCCCTTCACACAAGACATTAATGAAATTAGAATTAAAGTAAGATTGTAAGAAAAATAAATAAATAAAATAGCAGACGCAAGAAAATGACTTTAAAGCGCACCATGCTTCAGTTCAAAATGATCCTTCTGCTGTTAAACAGCACGTCAATGCATGGATTTCTCTGTTGCTTACTTCCTGCTATCTGGAACTGTTGCTAGGCGACCGGAGATCACCATCCTGTCAGCGGAGCCGCTGGCCTCCACATCCTGGTTCCCTGGAGCTTCTGGAGGATTCCCACCTCCCCCTCCTCCTGCAGCTCAGATCTGGGGATCCTCAATCCCTCCGTCCTTACAGGTAACTGTTTGTGTCGAGGTGTCACTTTGAATATGGAGTCCAGTTATTAAAGGTCTTTGTCCCTCTGCTGAGGACTTCTTGTTGTTTTAGGTTTGTTAGGTGGTTGTCTGTCTCTATGTGTCAGCCCTGTGATAGTCTGGTGACCTGTCCAGGGTGAACCCCGCCTCTCACCCAATGTCAGCTGGGATAGGCTCCAGCTCCCCCGCGACCCCTAACAGGATAAGCGGTCACAGGGTTGTGTGGTGTTTCATGACTGCAGGGGCTCAACCCCTGCTGTCTTGTTGTGTTGCTGTGCATGAAAACATAGCGAGTGAAACCCATGTGACAGCAGACATAGAACAAAGGATCGGATCAGGCTCGGGCTCTGTACAGTTCAGTTCAGCCGATCCAAATGCCCCGATCGCTCCGATAACGATCTTTGAGATTTGCATATCAACAAAAACTCACTTTTGAGACGCTGAATCATGTTCATATTTTTTCCTGTTTATCTCCTCAGCCACCTCCTTCCTATGAGGAGGTTATCAGGGAGAAGACACAGGAGCAGGTCCTCCTTCCTCCTCCTTCCTCCTCATCCCCATCACGTCCAGCTTCTGTAACCATCGCCACTCAGACTGAACCAGGATCTGTCCCCGACCCCCAAGACTCGCAGGGTGAGAGGAGGCTCGCTTGTGTTTTGTTTTTGTCAGTGAATATTTGAGAGTGACATTAATTTGTGTGTTTGTGTGTCAGTGAGAAGACCAGTGAGACCGCCGCGGCCGCCTCTCCCTTACCCTCCCAGACCGTCTCACGTTAATGACATCACCATCACAGCCAGCCAATCACTCACCTCCCTTAACAGTGTGGTACCAGACACACACGGCGGCGCTCACACACAGTGCTGTGACTTCCTCACTGAGCTTTGCTCGCCGTTGACCTCAACCTCCAGTGCTCAAACGGACACATGGGATCGGTCATTTGTTGCTGCTGACGTGGCAACTCCTCCCACCACTTCCTCTCACGTCCCGCTGGAGCGCCCCAGGCCACGCCCCCGCTCCAGGCTCAGCGCGCCGCCTGTCAGCAGTGACGTCAAAGTTCAGACTTTGGTGAAACTGCGCGACGACGGTTTGGCCACGCTAGCTGCCCACGCAACTACCACCTCAAACCAGGAAGTGAGTCAGGGGAAGTACCTTCAGGAGCTGCTTGAGGCCTTCAGCGCAGACGACTGGGGCTTCCCTGACCGCCGCAGCGACAGCAGTGGGCACAGCCAATCGGAGAGCGAGGAGGAAGAAGAGGAGGACATGGCGACCCTGAAAGCGAGGATACAAGCCTTTGAGCAGCAGCAGGTGGCTGATACGAGCTGTGGAGATGACAGAGACTTTGTGGCCACAAAGAGACCTGAACCCCGGCCACGCCCTCGTCTCCAGGGGCAACCAGCCAAATCCGTCCCCCCTACTGTCGCCCCGAAACCCAAAAACTTTTCACATGCACCCAAACCCTCCAGCAAGGTGTTCTGGGAGGATGGTGAGTTGGCAGCAGACTCAGGCAGCGCTGAAACTCCTGCAGATTCAAACCCTCAAACTGCGACGGAAACCCCGAAACCTGCTCCAGCTGTGGTACCCGACCCCTCCAAAACCCCTGACAAACCCTCAATATTACCAAAACCACAGTCTGCTACAGACCCCTTCCTGTCTGCCCCTGTCCCTGCCCCTAGGCCCCCTCCACCCAAACTCACCCCTGCTGTCAGTGAGACTCCGTCCTCAGCCAACCCCAAACCTCCGCCCAGACCTCCAGTCGCCCCGAGGGCCAGCGTAGGAGCTCCACTCCAGGATAAGAGCACCCCAACTCTGCCCCCGAGGCCGCATGTGGAGGTCAGCAGTGGAGCACAGACTCAGACATCAGGAAGTGAGGAGACGCAGGAGGCTGCAAAACAAACTGGTGAGTGTTTTTCTTGAAAGGTGCACTCAAGTCCAAACTCGCCAATCCTCCCATTGTTCCCATAAGACTCTCATTTTTCTTTTCCCTCTCCTCGGTTTCGCACTTCTGTTTTCCAGGCCTGGAAATGGTTTGGAATTAACAGAGCGTTTTGGACAACCTTTGAATGTGCATTGTTTTTGCTATTGTTTAAAATATGTTCATAAAAAATCCCCCACATTATCTAACGTCACAGGAAGTACATTCCTAGTATTACGAATTTAAAATCTAGCGCTTGCTGCGCTGCGTGACCTTTCAGACATCACTAGTATCATGTGACACACAAAGATCAGGCCAGCATCATGTCATGGCATCATCGCCGAGACCGTGCCTCTTTTTGGGTCACTGATCCAGGTGGACAGGAAAAGACTGACTTTAATTTAGTAAGTTATTGAGAATGCTGAGGTTCAGGCAAGGCTGCAAAACAATTATGAGACATGTCTGTGAAACAAACATTTGTTCAGCTGTGTAAAAAAAAAGGGGTTGAATCTTGTCAGAAATCCAAACACATGTCAAGTTGCATTGACTTCAGCAGTATCTGAGGTTTTTGTCCCCCATAAAGGACAGTTGACGTTTAGTGAAGGGTTGATACCCAGCTGTCCTCCAGAGACCGTGAGCCTCCCGTTCCACCTCTTAGGCATCAAGGACCCAGGGCTGTGTGGGCCAGGGAGGATAGCTGGCTGTGGATCCCTGGCGTGAGCCAAGCCTACATCCTGGCCTTCTTCCCTCTTCCTGGTACTCTGCTGCAGCACCAGGGGCATGACCCAAAAACTAACCCAACATAAAATTCTGATGCAGTGTGCGTATTATTTTATTTTCATTCATTTAAAATCACCAGATACAGGAGACAAAGGTTTTGAATCCCCCAGACCCCCCCACTTAGGTCTATTTTTAAGGCCTCTAGGTCGTCTGTGACCTTCACTGACCTCTGCAGGCAGATCAGAGGATCTACAAAAAGAAACTCTGCATATTATGTTCCCAATCAAAGCAGGTTGGGAAGTGGGGGTTAATTTCAGAGTAATAAAGGAGTCACTGATTATTTTCTCTTGCTCTGAACCTGCAACTGACGATGATGTTCGTTACTGATTAATCTGTAGATTATTTTCTCAATTATCTGATGAATTGTTTGGCCTTTAAGAATGTCCTAGAATGTCTCAATTTGTCCAACTAACATTTCCAAACCCTAAAATATTAAATGTCTGAAAATGACTGAAATGTGTAATTGATTATCAAAATACATAAAAAAATAATTTATTGGGTTTCCAATACCCACTATCTTTCTATATAATGACAAAAACTCTGTGTGTCTGGGTGTCTGTTCCACGTTTTTCTCCTCACTGACTTGGTCAATCCATGTGAAATTTGGCACAGTGGTAGAGGGTCATGGGAGGATGCCAATGAAGCAATATTACATCAATTGGCCAAAGGGGGGCGCTATAGCAACCCATTGAAATGTCAAACTTTGAATGGGCATATCTCATGCCCCGTATGTCGTAGAGACATGAAACTTTGCACAGAGATGCCTCTCCTCATGAGGAACACATTTGCCTCAAGAACCCATAACTTCCGCTTATATAGATTTTCCGCCATTTTGAATTTTTTGAAAAACACTTCAAATGGATCTCTTCCTAGGAAGTTTGAGCGATCTGCATGAAACTGGGTGAACATAATCTAGGGACCAATATCTAAAGTTCCCTCTTGGCAAAAGTTGGAAAACTTACTAAAACTGAGCTTCTATAAGGCAATGAATATTGCGGAGGGCGTGGCTCATCACATAAAGGTGTATAACATCTCAAGGGTTTCACCCATCACCACGCAACTTTGTAGGCATATGACCACACATAATCTGAGGGGACCCCTCCATTATTGACCCCATCAAACAAAATGGGGGCGCTAGAGAGCTCATTTCTTATCTAGGCCTAACCGCCATATGGATTTTTACTAAACTTGGTAGATATGTAGAACAGGACGCCTCAAGGTGACTGGAGAAATTTAACTCTAATTGGCAACTGGGTGGCGCTATAACAACAGAAAAATGCTTCAAAATGGCTAAAATGTGACCGTTCGCTGTGGCTCCCCCTGTGGACCAGTGTTTTGTTTTTTTCTAATTTTTGGTATGACTAAGTCATGGTATGGTATGCTGTACATAATCAGGGAAACTGTCAGTCAGTCATTCTGTCTGTCCCACGTTTTTCTACTCACTGACGTGGTCAATCTATGTGAAACTGCACATAGGCATTGAGGATTGGCATAGGTAGAAGGTAGGGATGGGCAACACAAGCAAAAACACTATTCAAAAATCATGGCAAGTATTCAACAATTTTTCGAATAATCCCCCGCCCCCCCCGAGCCACTCATACAGAGATCCATTCATCTTTAAAGGCCCGAACATACTCGGGCGGAACGGACTCCACGGAGGTCTCAAAGTGGACATCCGCAAGCCCTGTGCGCACACACCAGTGACTGCTCGGCATGCATTTTCACATCGCGGGGATTTTTCACTGACATTTTTACAGGAAACTACAACGCGGAAGTGCGCTCGACTATGAAAGCCCGAATGACTGCGGACATACCTCACGGAGTAGTAGTCTCTGCATGTTTCTCCTGTTTGTAGAAGAGCATCTCACACCGCTGTAGCAATCCTAGACTGCCCTCGTGCGGTTAGGAGCTGAATTGCATGTCAAATAAAGGAGGGGAAATATGACGGCGAATAGTAATAGTCGCATTAAAAAATTGATTTTTCAAAAATAAAACAACTATTCGAAAATTGAAAATCGTGACCCATCCCTAGTAGAAGTTGACAAAGCTACCAATGGGTATGGACTAGTTTATATAAATTAAAAAAAAGAGAGAAGAAAAGAGACACTAACATAAGTTGCAATTACAAAGTCACATTTTACTTGTCTTAATTCAGATCCTCAAAAGAAACCATCATGAGTAGAGCTGAATCAGTCGGTGGATTGACAGAAAGTTATTTGACCACAGATTTTAAACTAAAATGACACAAAACATGACTGATTCCAGCGTCTGATGTGTGTGTATTTACTTGGTTTCTTGGTCTTCTGTGAAACTGAGCATATTTAGGTTTTAAACAAAACAAGCAATTTGAATAAGTCACTTTGAGCTTTAGGAAATTGTCATGTTCATTTTTTGTTATTTTTTTTACATTTTATAAAACACATTTTTACATTGACATTTTTAATCAGTCAAGGAAAATAATGGTTAGCTGCAGGCCTAATCACAAATGGATTTCAGCATTTAACATGGACAGGTTAGACGTCAAATTGATGTTAAAATACCGAGAGTAGTCTTTCCACCTGAGCCTTTTTTCTGTGAATTTACATTTGAACTAACAATAAGATGCATAATGTGTTTACGTAATTTACAAATGTCACTACAGCGTCGATATGTTTTTAAAAGCCACACAACACTGGTGTTTATTTTTTGCTTTCAAGAGAGTCTCTTATATTTGGGAGTATTTTCAGCAGTAACTTTGGCCGTTTAATACATTTAAAGATTATCTGAGTCAGCTGGTGAACTTCTGCACACGTGCAGAAACAGTAAAGCGGGTCATTTCACAAATATTTACAGGAGGTTTGGAGGAGGCGTGCTGCTCCATGCTTACACTGCTTATCTACCAGATATCCTGAATGTTTGTGTAGCTGCTGCTGATAAGGTATCACTACTGTGTAGCTATGATTTGCTCATTAGGAAAGAAACTGGTGATACTGATGACTATGGTTGGACACTGTTCACATCTGAGCTGATACCAGTACCAGCTCCAGTACCTGGAGCTCAGTACAGGTACCTTTTTACAGTTTTTACTTTTTCTGTGCGAACAAAAATCTAATTTTTAAACAAGCTGCAGGGGAGACGTAGATGAAAAACAGTTCTGTATGTGTCTGCTCATCCAGCAGTGACACTAGGCTATTAGAAAATAATATAATAGAAAAGAGAAAAGACAAAAGACTGGATACCGAAACTCTCAGTGCAGATCGAAATGAGAGATCGTTTTTGTTTTAACTTAATATTTGAAGCAAACTGTAAAACTATATCACTTATTTTGTTGCAATTCTATTTTCTTATCGTTTATCGTTATCGCAAAAATACCCTGAAATATTGTGAGTATTTTTTCCCAGCCTGCCTCCTGTCTAAAGTTGAACATGGCAGTTTCCCTTGTAGGCCTCGGAGCTGTGAGTGAATCAGTGCTCTGTAGTTCTGACATAAATCGGTACCCTTAAAATTATCGAGCTCAGTACCTAACCCAGACACTTACAGTAGGGCTGCAACAAATTATTAGTTCCATTGTTGATTAATCTGTCGGGCATAAAGTACAGAATTGTATCTTACATTTTTCTGTTTGATTATTTGGACTTCAGTGAGTCGGACATTAAGACTAACTTTGTGGGGTTTTCCGAAATAACACCCTTGGTTTTGTTTTGTGTCGTGAGCTCTAGTGGATCAATATTTGAATAAAGACTGTCTTATCTACGGAAACATTAAAACGGTTTTGTTTAGTCACGTCTAAATCTAACTGAACCAGATAAGTCGGATATATGATGTCATGTGACTCCGCTTATATTTCTGTTTTTTTGTATTTTTGTTGTTTCAGTCAAAGTAGGAAGTGCTCGTCCAGACATCCCGACCAAACCAGCAGCACTGACCTCACCACGCAGAGCCAGTGGTAAGAGAGAGTGTGTGTTTGTGTGTGTGTGTGAGCACTAAGCTGGATGTAACTCCAGTACAATGGGGTGTGTGAGAGCTTAGAGACACAAATCCTGCTCATTATGTAGCAGAAATATGCAATTATGCATTTGCAACATATCACAGAGTGCTTGTGTGTATTTGAACTTGTATTTGCGACACAGTGAGGACCGAAGTATGTTTATAACAAGGCTGCCCCCTAACAGTCGACCAAATGTGAGTTGGGAAGGCAGGGAAAAATAAGCAAATGTGTCAAAATAAATCAGAACCTATATGACTGGACCATGTGGGAATTTAATTGGAGGAGTTGTGGGGAGAAAAGTAGACTAAGGCCCAATCCCAATACCTCCCCTTGTCCACTACCCCTTGGCCCTTGAAATGAATCAACGAGGGGTAGGGGTTTGAAATCTTTCCCCAGGAATTGGGACACCACTCACTACGTCACTGCGTCGGTTACGTTCACGCATACGTAACTATTTTAAACAGGAAGCTGCGAGCCATCTACATTTCCAACCGATCACATTTTGTTGTATTCATCATACTTCGTTTGATGAACGACAGGGGACAGGGGACTGCTGCTAGCAAGCTAACTAGCTAGCTAAACAGCTGCGAGGCAGCATAGTTATACTAGCTGGCGTGTTATCGTAATGTGAAAAATCTGACAACTTTGCAGAACAGGACAGATGACAGACGCCAGATAGTGCGAGCTAGCTAGCTAGCTAACAAGCAACCAGACGACGGTAACATTAGCTTTGTATGAACTTTTTTCTCCGTCTCTTGCTTGGTGGTAGCCATGGCAATGTCTACCCCTCGCTGGCAAGTCAGCATCTGACATCCCTCGCTCCGAAGGGGTAGTTTCATACCAATTACCCCTTGTTATGCCCCCTACCCCTACACGCAAAACGGAATTGGGACACCCCTTCCCCCTTGCGGGAACGCGCAAATCTAGGGGTAGGGCCGGGGGAGGGTATTGGGACGGGCCCTAAAGTACCAAACTGACATGATACAGAACAATACAACCAAAGATGAATGACAACGGGAAACACACTGAGCTGTCAGTGAAAAATAAAATCTGAGAAATAAGTAGAACACAGTGCAGTGAAAGAAGCAAAATATATGTTTATGGACAGGTTAAGAAACAATTAGACTTCTTGAATTGAATATAACAATGATTTCCTTTTTAAGGAATCTTGACAACATGAACTTAGGTGCATCAAATCTATACACCATCATAATTACAAGTGTCTGGTCACCATGTTTCAGCAACAAGTTTGCCCCTCACTGGAACATCTCACATCAGTGGAGCATTGGACAATTTTTAAATTGTCAGCGAAATTGAAAACGCAATTAGCAGAAACTGAGGGAAGGGAAGGGGCTCGGAAATGCATTATGTCAGTCAGGGTCCTCACAAAGATAGCAGTAGCAGAGTGTGTGCAGCGGAGGGAGCGGGGTGTGTTGTTATATTATTCAATCCAAACCTTGTGAAAGAAAAATGCAGTGATTGTGCGAGGAGAAAAAAGCCTCCACTGTTCTTAGTGCTGTGTGAGTTTGATGTGTATGTGCTGCCAGCTGTACTGTACTGTCGCTGACGTGTGTATTTTGGTGCGTTCAGCCAAGTCGTGTGATTGGTCGATCTGACAGAGAATTCCCATTATGCAACTGTCCTGGCTGCTGCATGAACTTGTAGAAACTGGGCAGCTCGTTAAGTTGTTTCACAGTGAGACAAAACGTTCCAGTCAGCATGTTCAGTTGTGTCATAGTTTCAAAACCTGCCAGAGAACATTTGTATTTTATTTTTACTGCTGCAACACCCAGAGTTTCCCCTCTGGGGATCAGTAAAGGTTTATTTTACCTTAAAGGGGAACTAATGTTTTTTTTTCAACCTGAGCCCTATTTTCCGATCTACTTTTGTCTAAATGAGTGATAGGATGTTCAGTATTTTCTCTAGTACAAAGCTAGGGCTGACCTGCCTGCAGCCCGTGAGCGCGCACTATATTAAATAATAGGGCTTCAAACAACGTCAAAATACGTCCACTAAAAGTGCATTTTTTTCTCACGGATTGTTAGTATAATTATCCGACAACATAACGGAAAGGAGAAATGAACGTCTGTGTTTACCTTAAGCTGGACTCAGACATGTTCCTCTGCCTGTTGCTGCTCCCTCTCTCTGCTCGTCCATTCTTCAGTTTCAATGAGCTCTGCGTCCGTGTACTCCGTGTTCAAATAAATATGGGCGGTCATCAAATTCAAATGGCTCATCCAGATCCAGTTGGTCAAAATCAGGTAAAAATTCGGACAAGTTTGTTGTGGCAAGTCAAAACACTCCCTCAGAGAGTGAAAGTCTGGCTCTGATATCTCATGTCTCGCGAGATTCTTCTTCTTTGGTGTTTTACGGCAGTTGGTCTCGCGAGATTTGAGTTGTTGCAGGAAGTTACAGCTAGAGTAGTCATGGCTGAATTTTTACCCGATTTTGACCAAGCAGCATTTGGGCAATCCTTGTAGTTGCACCCTGTAAAATGTTCCTTCCTGATCTGGATAAAGATTAATGATGAAGTTTGACATCTGCTCTCCCCCTCCAGCTCCAAATCTGGCCCCTAAACCCACATCTCCAGATCCAAACCCAGTCCCGCCCAAACCTACAGCTGCTGCCCCGGCCACGGCCCCCAAACCTTCAGGACCGGCTGTGGTTCCGATTCCAGGCCTCAAACCACCAACTCCAACCCCAGCTCCAAACCCAAACCTAGCTCCAGCTCCGGCTCCAGCTCCAGCTCCAGCTCCAGCTCCAGCTCCAGCTCCAGCCCTGAGGAAAGGCCCCGTGACTCAGACCAAACCAGAAACCTCCACCACTGCAAACCCCACCCCCTCAGACCCTCCTCTCCCTCCACGGTGAGAAAGAGATTTGTAGTAATCCAGGATGGAAATAAACCATCAGCTTTAAGTGGTAATGACTGTCTCCCCTGTTTAAGCTTCATGTATCTGTAGAGAAAAGGTAAAACAAAGTCAAACAATTGTCAGAGATCAGTGTCGCTCAGAAACATGGACCGACCCGCCATCATCTATCACCACAAACAAAACGCTGTTCATAGCTCTGTTTTCTTTCAAAGAGCTGCTTCACTTCACACCTGTTTCACGCCTTAAATCAAGAACTGTTTTTCTCTCCAGGCCTTCAAGTGTCAGGCTCCTCCCCCTGCGTCCTCCACCAATCAAATCCATCCCTGGGCGACCTCCGCCACCTTCCGTCGGTTCCACTTTACCATCCAACCCGACAGCTCCTCCTCCCTCCAGAACTAGTCCCACCCCCTCTGTTCCCCCTGCCAACCTGTCCCCACCTTCACAAACCACTCCATCCCCTCCTCCTGTGTCAGCCAATCAGGTGCAGCCTCAAAAGGCACCAAAGAAAGGACCACCTCTGCCCCCCCGCCCCAAACCTGGACACCCTCTCTACAGCAGCTACATGGTATAAGCAAACAAATGCACACACACACAACATACTGTCGTAGATTTTAGCTGAAATTGTATAATTTCTTACCTTTATCTCAGAAACAGGAAGTCCTGATCGTCCTGGACGACCCAAGCCCCTCAGAGCACCTGTCAGGTGAGGGGAGGAGTCAAACTGCCGTCATCAGTCCATCGCAGTGTCTCCTGGACCTGGACACCCAACCAGAGCCTGCTCCTGATCAGGACAGCCAATCAAAACTGTCCTTAGAGGGCCTCAGCCTATCAGACTCCCAGGTAATGGAATAGTCTTCTTATAAAGCCTGAAAATATCCATATTATATAATATAGATGATTATATTATGTCAGGAGGCAGGCCGATATACCTGAGGTGTCATCTGAGTGAATGGTAGCCTTACTCAAAAACTCCATACAGGGCTTCCAGGTGTTGTCGGAGGATTTACCAGTGTCTCCAATCTAATCTTTTCAAGCTTGAGAAGGTTTAGGAGCTCCTTAAACCAGCTGTTGTGTGAGGGTGGAAGAGTGTACTTGAACTTAAACAAGACGAGGCGCCTAGCTGATAGAGTTCTAAAAGCCGAAACGCTGTTTTTATCAATGGGAAGTTCGGTGCTGTAGGTGTGTACTTCATGTTCACCTCAAATTATTCAGACATCAAAGTAAAACAAGCTGCAGCCGCTGATGATGAACGAATTAGTACAAGTTAACTTTAGCTCGTCCGCGCTGGAGACTGTCTGGGTGCTGCGCTGACTTCACAGTTGAGTTCCGCCTCTTTTGTTACGTCAACGTCATGTTTTATGACCTTTTATTGACATCTGTGAACCAATGCTGAATCGTCCACGTCCACATCGCGATGCATCTAAGAATCAAGTTTTACTCCACCCCTGATAACTAAAGTTTTGTTTTCGTCTCTCATCTAGTCCATCCTGCCTGTGCAGCCCACTGAGCAGAAAGAGCAGCCCGACCCTCCTCCTGTCAGGTCAGACTCACAACATGAAAAACTACACACCAGACTGATCACTGGAAAACATCAGTTCTTTTCAGAAGACGAGGTGTGTCATTGTGTGTGTATTTCTTAATGTGTGTGTGTGCAGCGGCCCTCGGTGCATCGCCTTGTTTGACTACGAGGGAGAGGAGGAGGACGAGCTCACCTTCTCCCAGGGGGATGTCATCGCCCTCCTGGAGCTCATCGGGCAAGAGTGGGGGCGGGGCCAGATCCACGGGCGAATCGGAATATTCCCCCTGAACTTTGCTGAGGTGGTGGAGCCGCCCCCGCAGCCGGCGTCGTCACCGGGGGAAAAAACAGTGCCAACGGATACCACAGTGACAGAGAGTACTGGTGAGCCACCAGGTCCTGCTCACACTGACTGATTGATTTACTAAATAACTGATTCATTTTGTTTGATGGTTAAAAATACTCTAAATCCACAGTTTTTTAAATGTTTAGTTTTTTAATAAATGTTGCCTTTGCTTCCTACAAGGCGCTTAACTTTCCTTGCAGAGCTTTCACCCATTCTTCCTCATGTCCTCTAGAGTTGAATGTAATGGTATTTTTTTTGTTCTCAACAGCACCAAAGACGTCACAGGACCTCGACTCCAAGGTGAGTGTGTGTACGTACGTGTGTGTGTGTTTAATTTATATTCATTGAAGATAAACAAGAAAAAGGGCTCACAAGTAGCAGTGTTGGGCTCGTAATAAATTACTCATTACTCATCACTCTTAAGTAATAATTTAACTTTAGTTAGTACTCCCTGCCAACAGTAATTCGTTACGCTACTCGTTTTATTATAGTCCTGTTACACCACATAAAACTTGTAGTTGTGTATCTTCCCCAAAATTCAGATGTGTGCGTCTGTGCAAATGTCACGGTAATCACGGGTAAGTGCAGCCAAAGCTAGATCACTTGCAAATGTATTTTCTTTTTACCTGGGGGTCTTCAGTTGCCTGTAAACTGTATTTTCCCAAAGATCTGCCTGAAAGACGGAGAGTCACTCATGGAGCAACATTTCATCCACCACAAACCTTCATTGCTTCTTTGTGTCCTGCAGCTGGACACGATTAAAATCCAGTTTGGCTGTTTAGCCAGTGTAGCGCTACAGCCGACGTCTGCAGCCGAGGAGGTCTCACCTTTGGTGGGGTGTATTTCCTGGATATGTTTTTCACACAGGAAAGAGTTTAAGTCCGACGACCTGCAGAAACCATGTTCTTGTCTTCTTTCCTGACAAGGAATTTTATTCACTTTAAACGTGTTTTGCTGAATATTTATTGGTTGTTATGTTGTTATTATTATTTTATTATTTAGTCACTTATTTTATGTTACTTAATTCCTTATCTTGTTGACTTTTTTAAATCTGCTGTTAATTTCGCTATTGTTGCCTGTAAGGTGACCTTTAGTGTTGTGAAAGGCGCCTTTAATAAAATGTATTATTATTATTATTATTATTGTTATTATTATTGTATTATCATTTCCTCCCAACAAAATCAAAGTAAAGGGAATAACTCCAGCTGCTGAGATAAGTGTTTCCATCCTCCAAATTAGCTCGCTGTGTTGTGACGTGCCTGCGCAGCCCGATGATTATGAAAACCAGTCCGCTGATGTGATGTTGTATTTCAAGTTATGACGTCATTAACTGTTGTGACCTGTTGGTTAGACACAGGAGAGAAAAACTTAGTTTGACAAAGCAAAACACTTCTGTCATGGTTTGATTAAGATATAAAGATTTATTTTTAGGAAGCTATATGTATAAGAATTTCTATTTAAGTATTTTTGCAGTCATTTTATATCGTGCTGTAAGACAAATATTATTAGTAATTAATTTAATATATTAGAATAGGTCCAGGAGAATTAATTATTGTACAGCTTTATACTGATGGGAGCTACATAATTCACTTCTGTTAATTTATGGAGAAGGGGAAGCAATAAATAAGCTTGTACTTCCTCCCACTCCTTTTTGCACATGTATATCACATCATTAAATGTTGTTTTCAGTTTTTAAGCTTCCTTAAGTAACCTGTTGTTATGTGTGTGTGCTACTGTATGATTATTTTATTTATTTGCTACTTAAATGTTCGAAATAAACTGCTACTAACTAACTAAAATAATCCTGCAGCCCTACACAATGTGGTTTTTTTGTACTGTAAAGTGCATTCTCTTAATAATTTTGTTTACAGTCAGATTTTTGTTTATATATTTCACTGATTATTCTATAATTGGATGTGTTTTTTGTCTGAATCTGTGGATGTGTATGTGCGCAGGTAAAGGAGTGGGCCGAGGCTCTGTTTGACTTCCCGGGTCAGACTGCAGAGGATCTTTCCTTCCACAAGGGGGCACTCATCGAGGTGATGGAGCACATCGACGCTGAGTGGAGGAGAGGAAGACTGGAAGGGAGGGAGGGGATCTACCCTGCTGCCTTCACACAGCCCTGCCAGGGTAAAACACACACACTGAAATACATCAGAGAAAAATACCTAATCAAGTCCTTTACTGAAAGTTCAGATACCACACTGTGAAAGTACTCTGATACTATTCTTTCTCACACCTTCAACTCAAACCACCAAAATATATCATTTAATCATTACATTCATATCAGAAACATGCAGAAGACTAGTCCACTGATGGACCGTAATGATGACTATTGACTAGGAAAATTCTTTGTCGGGGGCAGCCCTACATGTTTTACTTGTGCTGTGATGCATGAGTGTGTGTGTGTGTTGTCACTGAGGTCGCTTACCATAACTTCCTCTTCCTGTTTCCAGCTAAGCCAATCCAACTCCAGCAGTCGGAGGTTAAAGCAGTGGCCAAGTTTGACTTCGCAGCAGAGAGTGAGGATGAGCTCACGTTAAAGGTGCCTGTGTGTGTGTGTGATGAGGAAGTTTTAGTTGGTATTCTCTGCACAGATTAAATGTAAGTTTACGTCAGATCTTTATTTTTATGTCGGCTGATAAATTTAATGTAATAACTGTTAGTTTATCAGTAAAGACAAAAAAAAATCCAGTTTAAGATTGTTTCATTCCCTCATATTCTTCCTTTCCCATCTTTATTCAACAATTACTGCACACACGACATATTGTATACATACATTTTGATTAACTAAACTTAAAGGGACACAGATCGGAGTGGTCGGAGGCAGTATGTTTTTTGGGTTGTGCATTTGTCCATCCTGTTCTGGTGAACGCGATCTCTCAAGAACACCTTGAGGGAATTTACTCAAACTTGGCACAAGCGTCTACTTGGACTCAACAGTGAACTGATTAGAAATGGTGGTCGAGTGTCACTCTTACCTTCCATCCATCTCATTTTCTTTAACACGTCATTTCAAGAAGGCCTATAGAGAATTTCTTAAAATTTGGCACAAACGTCCACTTTGACTCAACTATGAACTGATTAGAATTCGGTGGTCAGAGGTCACTGTGACCTTGCGTGTGTCTTATTCTTGTGAACGTGATATCTGAAGAAGGCCTTGAGGAAACTTAAACAAATTTTGCACAAACGTAACAATGAACTGATAAGACTTTGGTAGTCGAATGCCACAGCAACTTTGCATCTATCTCGTTTTCTTGAATATGTTATTTCAAGAAGGCCTATGGAGAATTTCTTCAAATTTGGCACAAACGTCCACTTTGACTCAACGATGACCTGATTAGAATTTGGTGGTGAAAGGTCACTGTGACCTTGTAGCCATCTCATTCTCAAAAACGCAATATCTATAGAACGCTTTTAGGGGATTTTCACAAATTTGGCACAAACGTCTACTTGGACTCAACGATGAAGTGATTAGAATTGTTGGTAGAATGTCACTGTTACCTTGCATCTGTTTTGTTTTTTTGAACATGTTATTTCAAGAGGGCCTTCAGAGAATTACCTCAAATTGGGCACAAACGTCAACTTGGACACAAGACTAAGCTGATCAGAGTTTGAAAGTCGGATGTCAACAGCAGTGTGACCCCATCCGTCTCATTCTCATGAACTCGATACCTCGAGAATATGTTGTGGAAATTTCTTTAAATTTGGCCCGAACGCCCACTTTAGAATAAACTGATAATAATTTGAAGGTCAAAGGAAATCAACTGTGATGCGGTAATTCTACATAACTAACAAACGTGCTCTCTTTCTGTCTTTTCCCTGCAGGTTGGTGACATCATAACACAGGTGGAGTTTGTGGATGAGCAGTGGATTTTGGGAGTTGTGGGCGGGAAGCGTGGGATTGTGCCTAAAAACTACATTTCACTTCTCTGATGAGGAAAACTTGGAAACAGCCAATGGGGGAAAACTAGGAAATAACTTTTTTTCCCCTCAGTTTTCACAGCCGCTCTGTGTGAACAGGTTGGTCGGAGGGTTTTTGAACTGGTGACCTCCCCTCACCTGTGAACACTACAGAGCATGCTGTGTACACTTAATTCCAATGTTTTCCAAAAACTTTCCAGGCAATGAAACAAAAGCCGCCTGCTCAGTTTTTATTTGGAGTTTGGAAATCGTAACTCTGAGATGCAATTGGATCGTCTCTTTGATTGACAACCATTGACCTAACGACACCTGGGCAACTGACACCTGCTCATGATTGGCATGGCGACTCAGAACGGGACGTACCTATGCCGCATAATGACGGAGTAAATCTGATATTACACCGTTGATTCTCATGTTTCTTCTTCTGCGGTCCGATTGACTCCGTGGACGATTTCCCATCTGGACTGGATTTGACTTTTTGTCTTTCACTGACTCTTTTTGGTTCATCAGTCGTGACCGGCCTGCACATGGACCTGCTTCGAAGAGCAGCTGTTGGACGACTTTCCTCTTTGTGTCTGATTGCAGATGTTTAACGCACTGTTGAAAAATGTTACATGTCAGATTTTCAAATTCAGGCCAACTTGCAGTATTGAAAGTAGAAAGGTTCGAAGGTTCGAAGTGGGGTTGTATATGGTACTTATTTACAGTCAGTTTATTACCTACAGTGAGTCGGCACGGCCCTAGTTTATAGAAGCAGACAGGAGTACCGCCCTGGAAACTAAACAATGTCCTACTGTTTTAGCCACCTAGAAAAAATCAATATCAGTATCAAGTGTACGCTATATTTAGAACATTTTCACTGGCTTGACGTTGTGGCCAGACAAACCTTTCCGACAGGGAGCTGATTGAATGTGAAACATAGCCATGCTTTAAACAAAGCCAGACTCCATTGACAAAAACATTAATTTTACCACACAGAACAATAGACTGCTACCCCGATCAGTTTGTTGGTTTGTGTAATTGTGTGACTTTGGTGTTTTAAAAGGTTTGTTCAGATTCACCAAAGTCACACAGTAACACAGTCAATCTAACCAATCGAAGCGGCGGTAGACCAGCAGCTCTCCTGTACTGTGAGATAAAAGTACTGTTTCTGTCAGTGGAGTCTGGTGGCGTCAAAGAGAGGTGTTGCCCGCCCCAGTTGCCCCCCAACTTTTGAAATAGACACCGACACAGATTGGGTTAATGTGCCCAGGCACGGTACGTAGTGTTTAGAGTAATCAAACATACTGAACTTTGGGGTCAAGTGCACTCAGATCCTGGCCTTCAACTGATATTGATTTATTTAGGTGGCTAAATGTTGCTGCAGCTGACCGCCATCTACTTTATGTAATACACTGACTGTAGTTAAGTACCTCATACAACCCCACTGCAAATAATCCGAACTATCTTTTTAACACAGACTTTTAAAAATATGCGTCAGATACATTTTCAAAATCAGGCCAACTTGCAGTATTCAAACTGGAAAGCTTGCGAGGTTCAGAGAGGAGGACTAATTCACTCTAATCAGTTAAAACTCACATTTATCATTAACATAGTGAAGAACGCTATTCTCATCCTGAGCCAGAGGAGATCAGAAAACTGAATAAAAACTGAGTAATGTGTAGCTTTAAGCCGATCGACGAGTCGAGTGTGAGCCGCAGACAGGATGTTTTTCCGCTGATGCCTCCTGAGAGTAAACACCAGCTCTGCTTGCTCAATGATTTTAACATGTAGCGCTCAGCGATCTGAGGGCCCAAAAATAGCCACTTTTAAGACAGGAAGTCGTAGGACGTTGTCAGTGTAGGTAAAAGTAACTGTCAGAATGTTTAATTTTGTGACACTGTAGGAGCCTGTAGATATTTATAAAGGTTTAGTTTTTTTTGTTGCACGTTTTTGCTCATCCACTCTTATAACAAAGCTTTTTTTTTAATGTTTTACATCCCCAACACTTGGACGTATGAACCAGATCACTTTACATAAAGAACACTAAAGCTGGTTTTGATCTGTCATCTAGAAACTGATGATACATCACCGCTCAACATTTTTCCAAAGCTTGTTTCTAACTTGAGAGCTGAATGTTTGTGGCTGTTTCGCCATCCTGATGAAGTCAAAATATCCCAGTGAACGAAACACGATGAACTGGAGAAGAGTTGTGCCATGATTTGGAAAACAGTTGGCAGTAATGTAACGTATACACCGATCAGCCACATTAAAACCACTGACGTGACAGGTGAAGTGAATAACATCGATCATTTCATTACAATGCAATGTTCTGCTTGGAAACCTTTGGTCCTGGCATTCATGTGGATGCGCCTTTACACACTCCACACATCTAAACATTGTTATAGACCAAGTACCCCCTCTCATGGCAGCAGTACCCCCGATGGCAGTAGCCCCTCAGCAAGCCACAGTAGCCAGTAGCCACACTGCAAAAACTGCTCAGGAATGGTCCAAGGAACGTGACAAGGACCATAAGACGTCGATCTAGCTTTCAGATTCCCCAGATCCTGATCTGATCAAGCATCTGTGGGGTAAACCAGTACTCCAAAGGTCCTTTGTCCGGGCCTGGATAGGTCAGAGCCAAGTATGATCTATGATGGAGCCTCTGACCTGTCGAGGCCCGGACAAAGGACCTTTGGGGTTGTCCTGTGTTGTCTGGTACCAAGGCATTGTCAACATATCCTTTGAGTCCCGTGGGTTGTGAGGTAAGGTACCAGCATGCCCAATGGATGTTCGATCGCATTGGGATCTGGGGAATTTGGAGGCCAGGTTGACGCCTAGAGCTCTTTGTCACGTCCCCCGTGCCATTCCTGAGCAGTTTTTGTGGTGTGGCATGGTGCATTGTCCTGCTGGGCGGGTGGTGCATGTTAAGTGGCATCCACATAAAGGCCAGGATTCAAGGTTCCTCAGAAGAGCATTGAATTGTAACAAAATGATTAATGTTATTCACTTCACCTGTCAGTGGTTTCAATGTTTTGGCCGATAGGTGTACGTGGGTTTCATTCAACAGATTTAAACAAGCTAAACTAAAACTTGACACTAGAAGAGCAAGTGGCTCAATAAAAGCAAACAAACCTGGATTAAGAAGATATTTTGAAACTTTTATACAATGTTATTAAGATATTAAAAATAAGCTTTACAAAAGTTGAAAAATCACATTCGGTATTTTAAGATGTCATCATAAAACATGTTTAAAGTTTATAATATTTAAACCTAAAGGTCATATAAATACATAACTTGCACAGAGTGAACCAGGAAGTGAAAGTTGTAACAGCGAGGAACTAAAAAACAATTTCACACTCACTTTGGTTCAGGTTTGATTTCCTTCAGTTAAACAGTATCTTTAGGCGATCTTGCACCATCCTGCACCAACAATAGGAAGAGTGTTTTCATAACAGCATTATCGTACCGAACTCTTTCACAGATACAAAGCTCTGGCTGTATTTTTTTTAGATGTACTGTACTATGGTCTTTTCTCTTTCACTGTTTTCTCAACATGTTTCCTGAGTTAAAACACTACATCTCAAAAAAACAAAAACAGCATCTCACGTTTCCAGACTGAATATTTACTCATCAACTAAAACTCATTGGTGTTTTATTAAAGATAAAAACATGGAGGATTTTTCTCTCTAAATGTGCTGTCAGCAAATCAGCAGTGATGATGATGAATTTTTCTTTGTTAGACTAAAGTTTGTAGTTACAGGACCTGTGTAACCAGGGGACTTCATGTGATTCAGAAATAACTCCCCAGGTCTGTGTTTGTGCAGCACATTCACACAGGATCAGTTAAATCTGTATTTTACTCAGATTCACTGACATTATCTGGAGGATATGATGCCCACACTCAATTTAACTCCACTACACAACACAGAAATACGACGAAGCACAACCAGTGGTCATGTACGGTGTTAACCTCCGTTTTATGCCTCTGTGCTGGCGACAGCTGAGGCATATTTGTCCGTTCATCCTGTTCTTGTGAACGCGAACACCTTGAGGGAATTTCTTAATTTGGCACAAACGTCCACTCGGACTTTAATGATGATCTGTTAGATTTTGGTGGTCAAAGTTCATGCTCAGTGTGACCTTGTCTGCCTCATTCTTGCGAACACAATTTCTCAGGACCACCTTGTGGGAATTTTTTTCAAATTTCAAAACAGTTTTGGTGGTTGAAGGTCAAAGGTCACTGTAGCATTGATTCGATTTTGGTGGTCAAAGATTGAAGGTCAGTGTGACCTCCCAAAACATGTTTTTGGCCATAACTCAAGAATTCATTCACTAATTATGACAAAACTTCACACTAATGTCTAACAGGATAAAATAATGAAGTGATGACATTTTGTATCCAAAAGGTCAAAGATCAACTTCAGTTTGACATCATAAAACACTTCTCTGGTCATTATTAAACGTCATATCTCAGGAACAGAAGGGGAGACATTTGGTCAGTTGGTGACACTGATCTTGAAACTGTGCTGATTGTATTGATCTTCTGTGTGTGAAGCTTCCATATTTTCACTGACATGGATGTTAACTATCAGTGCACCTTTTGGTGGTTAACGGAGGTGTACAACTGTCATTCAGTAATTTTAGTTTTCTTTTAAATGTGGGTTAAACAAACAGAACGCAGCCTCCATAATTCTCTAAGTGACGCACGAAGAAAACAAAAACTTAAATACAATCTTAAATGTCTGACATAATGATTCATATACAACTAAAATTATCACGACCTCTGCATTTATATATAATATGGTAGGTAATTTGTGGTGGAATTTTCATTTGACAAATTATGGAAATGGCAGATTACCACAGGCTTAAACTCACAGACGACCTCGGATATTATTACAAATCACAGGAAGTCCCCAGTTAATACTGTTAGCGTGTGAACAGGGCTATCAGATAAGAAACAAGAACAGATTTGGTCATTTCTTTACAGTCATGAAAGAGACATGGGGAACTGTTCACATGATATATTTGTAAACTGAAAAATTTTAATGTAGGAAATGCAGATGTGTCACTATTTTTTGCACTTTGCAGTCACTGTATTTAGCTGTCTGTTAAAATCTCACTGGACGATTGGGTAAGTGCACTCAAGAGGGAGAAGTAAACAGTTTTGGTATCACTCAGTATTTTTACGGGAAGTCTTTCGGTGTCATTACAACTAATCTGGTGGCAGCTCGTCAAGAAAGGAAATCTTCCATGTGGCGTCTTTAAGACTAACTTGCGTGTGAGTGAGAAAGACACACAATGAAAGAGGTTTATAAAGTGCTTTGTCAGAGATATTTTGTGTATAACCAAACATTCCAACTTTTTAATTCAAATAAAACTTTCAGACTTTTAATTAATTTTTTTTTTTGTGGTTATTGTTGGTGTGTTTCATCAGAGGTTGTCGTACAGCTGACATGTTTCAGATCTCCACTGACTCTGACTGAATGACTGGCAGCTGAACATGAATTTAACCAAAAGATAGAAATATTAAAAAGAACTGTTCAATTTACACCAGAGAGAATGATGGAAATAATGTCCAACCGAGAAAGTAATAAATCCGATCTTGGTTTCAGCTATTCAGTTTTTAATCAAATATACCCCAATTGTTGAGTCCTAAAATTATAAACCACAGGCTTTGATTTTTAGCATTGCAGGCTTTATATTTTGTAATTGTAGTCATATTTATATCTTTTAAATTAAGTAAATTTACTCCAAAGTCTGGTCGGGTTTGTAGATGAATAATTCAGCATTTCTACTGCTTAGTTTATATAATAGTATCTGGATTATTAGAAGAATGAGACTCTTAACGCTCAATAATAAAACACAAGCACAAGCTGTTTTTTTAGATTTAAAGAATTCATTTTTATTAAATGTAAAAATTCATCATATTTTAGCAAAAACTTGTATGAAATCTTTGTAATGCTGCAGTGCTCTCACTAAAGTTGGATTTTATGAAAACACCCTTTAGTTGCTGTAAATGTATGCAAAAACAGTAAATGTTCTTATGAATTTAAGAATCCAGAGACGCATCAACAAAAATTCCTCACACACAGGAAATAAACAAGAATACAAACTAACACCGGATGATAAACACATTTTACAGTCCCTGAAGTTATTGATTTTATCTGTTTTAAATAGTAATAATGATATTAACTGTATTTATATGGCACTGTGAAAAACAGTTTACAAAGTGCTTTGACAAACAAAGCAAAGCAGAAGCAAAAACATCAGAGGCAATATAACAATAGGAGCCAAACAATAATGCTGAACTAAGGCCAGACAAAAATTAAGGTAGAATTAAACAAGGATTAAGAGAACATATCAGGAAGAAGACAGATGATAATGGGAAATACAGAGGAATTATTTAAAAAGTCATACCAATAAAAGTATATACAATTAAAAAACAAAACAAAACAAAAAACTAAAATTAGTAAACACAAAATATTAATGATAATAATAATAAGAAGCAGGATCAAGACTGACTAAGAAGATACATAAAAATAATCAAAAGAAATTGAAAGATAAATTCAAACACAATATTACACACTGTCTCTTTAATAAGTCTGTGACGTGAGCTCACACAGCTCAGCAGTGTCTCCACTGACACCACAAAGCCAGAGTCCAGCACTGAGCTGCTGAGTGAACATACTGTACTTTAGACTCCTGACTTCCTGTTTTACATGAGGCATGATTTGAAACAAAACACTTTGTCCATACCTGCACCTGCATTCATGTCCTACAGAAGTTAATACGTTTCTTAGATATTAACCTGTCCTCTGCCTCTTCAATGACTACTTGAGTTGACAGAACTCAGCAGTGTCTCCATTAGAACCACCAAGAAAAAGTCCAGCATAGAGCAGCTCAGTGAATGTGGTCTGGACTCTGTGGAGGAGAGTCATTGTTTGAGAGATGCTGTAGAAAGACAGAATACCTGCACTGTGATCCAGGTACACTCCTACTCTGGAGGATTTAGGACCTGAGATGCTGATTGAGTGGTTGTCATGTCTGAAGGTATAACTATTGTCACAATATAGTGCCCAAGACTTCTCATTGTATCCAAATACATGTACATTAAAGTCCCCTGATCTGCCAATACTCTTGTAGGCGACTGCTACTCCAGCTTTCCTGCTTATCTCCACCTCCCAGTAACAACGTCCAGTCAGTCCATCTTTACTCAAGACCTGAGATATGTGAATGAATCTGTCTGGATGCTGAGAATATGGTGGATTTTTGTAATTATACATTATTTTTCTGTTCCCCTCTGATAAAACCATGAAGTTGTTTGCTGTGTTTGGGTCCAGCGTGATTTCACATGAATATTGTAAGAGCTCAGCTCTGGTCATGGGCTCTGCTAAAGGCAGTTTCTCAGTAAGGATGGTCTGCATTTTGTCTCTGGCTGCTGTCACAGCTGCCACCACATCCTCAAAGTGATGCAGACAGTCAATGTTTGGTCTTGGTGACTCTGTAGACTTGGTAAGTTTTGACAGTGACGGGTAACTGTGAAGAAACTGGATGTGGTCCTCTGTGTGTGAGAGCTGATCCAGTTCAGCGTCCTTCCTCCTCAGCTCAGCGATCTCCTGATCCAGCTTCTCCTGAAGCTTTTTGACTCGACTCACTTCAGTTTTCTGCAGAGATCTGATCTGCTGCTTCACATCAGAGCTTCTTTTCTCAATGAGATGGATCAACTCAGTAAAAATCTTCTCACTGTCCTCCACTGCTTTATCAGCAGAGGAATTGATATCCTTCATCTCTTGCTGAAGCACCTTCACATCTTTCTCTCGGTCTTGGATTCTCTGCTGGATTTTTTGCCGACTTCCACCGAGCTCCTTCTGCTTCTCAGTCCGTTCTGCTGCAGCTGAGATTGTGTCGTGGCCTTTATGTTCATCCATTGAGCAGAGAATGCAGATACACTGCTGATCAGTGCGGCAGAAAATCTTCATCACCTCATCATGACGGGAGCAGATGTTCTCCTGAAGCTTCAGGGAGGCTTCAGTGAGTTTGTGTTTTTTAAAAGTAGGAGATTCATAGTGAGGCTGAAGGTGTTGCTCACAGTAAGAGGCCAGACACACCAGACAGGACTTGAAGGCTTTCAGCTTCCTCCCAGTGCAGAAATCACAGGCCACATCTCCAGGTCTGGCATAGCAGTGATCAGCTGGAGCAGCTTCTGTCTTCCTCCCTTCCTCAATTAACTCTGCCAACATGGTGTTTTTCATCAGGACAGGCCTTGGGTAGAAAGTCTGTCTGCACTGAGGACAGGTGTAGATATTCTTCTGATCTTCTTCATCCCATTGGGCTTTAATACAGCTCATGCAGTAGTTGTGTCCACAGGAAATAGTCACCGGATCCTTCAGCAGATCCAAACAGATCGAACAGCAGAATTTCACCTCGTATGCTTCATTTCTTTGCTGCGCCATTTCAGCTCTCAACAACAGGGAATGTCTTGGAGTTGGACTTTCCTCTGAGCAAATAAAGTCATCAAGAAGGAAGCTAAACCTTCTTTGCTGTCCCGCTGCCAAGCTGATTGCACTCCCCAAACTGGTAGATCAATAAAAGAGGTGGGAACCAGAAAATATTCAGTTGGAGTTGGACTGAAAGGGCGCGGTTTAAACCATGACAGCATTTATGGCCTTTATCTAAAGGTTTTACAGTCAGTTTGCACTTTGGCAGCTTGTGCTGCCCTCCTTTAAACCAAGATTGAGCTTTGGTCACGTGGTAGAGGTGGTTGAGAACACAGTTCAGCTCTCTGGCTTAGGTAGTCAGTGTTGAGGCAAAGCAGAAAAACGTATGTATGAGAAACTTTCCCTTTCAGAATTTATTGGGATGTGTTGAATGGGGTTGAGGTCTGGGCTCTGTGCAGACCAGTTAGGTTTGTCCACCATTTCTTCATGGACGTGACTGTGTGTATGGGGACATTGTAATGTTGAAACAAAAAAAGGACAAACACAAACTGTTAAGACCAGATTGGAAGGGCTAAATTTACAGACTCGCAAAACCTGTGAATTAAGAGACCGGACAAAGTTTTCTGATGATACTAGAGGTTCATCCAACCCTTTTATGTCATCACATTCTTCTTTTTCCCAATTAACGTAATTAAATAGATTTATCACTTCCTGCCCTCCATCTGAATTTCGCACGTGATTGCAAACAACCTATTAAGTTTTGTTTTAATGAAATGCTCTTTGTGAAAGTCCCTTTGTGAGTTCCCTTTGGTGACCAGGTACGCAGGGTTTATGTCTAGGGCTTTAAGAATGGAGGGAGTGATGATCAGCAGGTCCGCCTCTGTTGTGAAGTTCCACTTACTTTTCTGGGAAGTACTGATCATATGACTGGATAAATGAGACTTGGATTTTACCTCACACGAATTTTTGTAAACTGATGTTTTGATATAGTTGTATTGTTGCTAAACGTGGTCGCCTATGAGCTCATTTATGCTTCATGTTAGAGACGGACGGAGCCTTCTGTCTGTAGTAATTTTGTCTGTATTTGTGCACGTTTTCTGAAAGCTTACAGATACAGAGCAGTACCACCGAAGATCATGGGGGCAGTGCAGCGTAGTTGAAGTGAGATACGACCATAGGAGACAACAAAGAAATTTCAATAATGGCTGACAGAACGAATCAATAATACAGTGAAAAGAGTTCTCCTTCCGCAGGTCTGATGTATTTTATGGCCTCACATACCACCGTGGTCTACAACACTGCCTCCATTAAAAGGTACTTTATTCGACATCCTCCACCGTCACCATGTTTGTTTTTGCGTGAGACTCCACCCTCTCATGCCATCTATTGACTGTATCTATACCAACATAAAGGACGCATGGAAGTATAAGGGTTGTGAAGTTTACAGCGTTTGAAACAAACAAACGTATTTATGTTTGTAAAGGGAGTATAATTGAGACTTCATGAAGAATTTTTGCCTCTTTTGGATTCTTCATTGCCTGTGGAGGCATGCAAGAAAAACATTTCCTTCATGACTTCCCGGTAACGCACAGTTGGTGCTTCTCAAAGTCAAAGAAGGATCCTTGAACAGCTGAATTTCAAGGAGGCTACGTCAACGAATCCCATCGAAGGACCGAGTCAGTGTCAAGGATCCTTAAAATTTTACCAAGGACCGAGTCCTTCCTTCAGAAAATTTTCAAGGATGCATGTGCGCATCCTAAGTGCGCATGAAGTATCCGCAAGTCTTTGCGCATAATTTGCCAGAACTGAAGGTGCGACCTCTTCAGTGACGCACACCTGGGCACTTGCCAGCCTGTTCCAATGTGTGTTTGCCGAATGCTTGGATGGAGTCTGGTCTAGCCTCTGTAGGACCCGACTTGGAAGAAACCGTCCTACCAAGAAAGCATCCTTGACTTCAAGAAGCACCAAGTGAGTAAGTGAAGTATTCTTTTAAACATTTTCTTTGTCACGACAGTCTTTGTTGACTTAGTTCCTCTGCTCATGCTGTTAATGTAAACAGTTAGTGTTTGTTTTAAAAATCCCTCCTTATAAACTAATTAAATACAACAGTACCAATGACACAGCAGGTTAACATGATGCCACTGCATCAGTTTTTATTTTCACAGTTGAATGCATCTTTTCTGGATCCAAATCAGGGTTGTGATTTTCTCCGAATGCCCGCACCCTGATCCCAACAAACATACATGTTTCATATCAACACACATCACATTACAGATCATTGTTAGCATTAAAACATGTTTACAGCATGTCCTCAAAAGTTCTCACCTCTCCTTCTACTTCAACCCAGGACTCGTTTTCCTAAAAGCATCTCGCAGTAAAGTTTGAGCAAATGAGCTGTGAAGAAATAACACGTTTTAAGTAGCAAATGTCAAAAGGCTTTTTTTGACCACTGGGTTCCACTTTCAGGAGTTCATTATTGTCATTCCAGAAACTGGATTGTCTTTAAAATGAAGCTTTTAATGTTTCCGCTGATTGGACGAAACATAAATCAGACTCAGAGAATCCTTTTAGGAAAACCAGCCCAGTTTGATTCAAAATCCTACGTTGTCTACTGCACTTCATAAAAAAAAAAATCAGTTCCTGTTTAAAATGAGGCATGATGTGAAATGATCGCACACACAGACACACACTGCATTTGATAAAAACACACACAAAGGGCCTGATAACAACAGCCACACCGGGTCAGATCACTGTGAAATACACTCAGTTACTTCAAGTCAGTGACACCAGATGGATTGTCTCTGAATGATTACTAAACTCCACCCACCTGTGAATTAAAGCTGCGTTCAAGTTCCAGTGAAGTCACAGTTTGAGGGAATTACTAGTATATTTGACTGTATTTTTCAGTAGACTTGTGTTCATTCCTGAACAAATATTAACTTTAATAATAGGGTTAGTGTTTTATAAAAGAGAGAAGCAAATTCCCAAATAGCAGTGACAATTCGGACAAGAGGAAAGGTACATGCAGTCATTCTTCTGGAAAGTGAATGCAGTGAAACACAGAGAATGGGAACAAGAAACTGCACAATGTTTTCAGTGTCACGATTATGCAACAACATTTCTAATCTTTCAATGGATTAAATGGATTTCGGTTCATTTCAGGACGTTACAAAAGCAGTCAAAAGTAACACAAAGGCAAAATATTTCAGCTGCGGGTTGACCCAGGTGTGGCTGCGTCGCTAACAGCATCAACAAAAGGCTCCTTCTGGTTTGGTATAAAGCAAAGAGAAAAGAATTAAGACTACTGGGTTCATAGCAGGCATAGAAGGTCGAAGGCCGAGCCACTGATTAAAGGAGTTTGACTTTTGCTGCAAATGATGATTCAACCTTGGAACTGATGAATCATGATTGTGATGACTGGTGTGTAAATACTTAGTGTTATCATAATATTTAGTGTTTTCACAAAGACGACTTGACAATGACTTGTTTCCTAATGGGTCATTTTTAAACACATTATAAAAGTGCAGATTTGTTTTCCTCAATATTCTAAGTTCTTAATATTCTTTTCCTCCGTCCTCTGATCAATAGAATCAAAAGGGTTTATCATAAAAATTAATCCCAGTTGTGAGTAGTGTTTAAACAGGGTTAAGTGGCGTTGTTTTGGTGTGATGGGTCCTGTAATTCTCGAGTGCTGTAATTCCCTTGATGTGCTGTCTGTCAGAGCTACATTAAATAAACGATTCATAATTTATATTTCATCTGAAGCCTAATATTTATACAAGTAATATTCATACTGGTTTAAATAAACAATTTGATTCTATTTCCCATATTTGCTGAGCAACAGTTTTGTGTGAAAGGAATTAAAGGCGTGTCCCAAATATGGGCCTGTTGATTTCAGTGATTTAAGCAAATAATAGCCCAGGCTACTAATTAAAGTTTTACAGTTTCAAATTTTTAGTTGAGTTCTGCAATGACTGTCGCTATAAGGAACTTTTTTCAGAGAGCTTTTGTCACTGAAATAAAAGAAAAACTGCATAAACACATGCTTAAGTGTGCCTTTTCTGGCCTCTGTAACAGATTACATAGATTCTAGGAAAGCCAGAGTTGCAGCAAGCAGCATGGCTACTGGCTACTCACTCATCTACCCATTCTCACTCCAACCTCGTCACATATTGATGTTTGGTCATGGACTTTCCACGTTCAAATATGACATGCAAGGTACCCTGGGTGTGTTGGTTGTTGACTTTCTGGGACACCATGTCAAGTTCTGCCTGTTACATGTATTGTCTTCTTTCAAAAAATAAAAGCGCTACGTCAGTATGACATTGCAAATTGCCATTTTTTCCCCTCCAACAACTAACGTACATGGTTAGGTTTAGGAAAAAAAGAACAGGGTTTGGCTTTAGAATCTTACGGGACGTGAACATCGCTCTCCTCGGTGAAAGTCAGTGTTTGTTGGACCCATCCAACACCCCTCTTGTACCACCCTAGTCAGACTTTCGCTGCCTTAACTTTCGTTCTTGTCCTGTCGTGTTTCCCCCTTTCACCATCAAGTGCTGTCAATGTGAAAGGACGGTTCTTTCGCCAGTGTCTGACGCCATAAGTCACTGCCCGAACGCCAGATTTCAACTACTTCAGAGTGAGACCGGGCTCCACTCTCTGCCAACATAACTCTCTGAGTCATAGTCTGAGTGTAGGTAAATGCTGGAACGTGTCTGACGTTGTTGCGTTGATTATACGTCGAGGGATGCCGACATGAAACTGTAATGGGGCAAATTAGCTGTAATAAATTGTGGCGATTCATTTTATTAATGGTAAAGCCTGTGTTTAGTTTGCATTTAGTCCCCAGATACAGTTTGTGAGCTTCAAGCTTTTTAAAAGTTCCCGCAATTGTCATCTCAGAATCTTCAACACTGCTTCAACAGCACGTCCTCGCCAAACATTTAATCAGTGGCTCCGGCCAAAAGGTCAAGGCCATGGAAAGGTCGTGCTAAGTTCAAAGATCATGGTAAGGTCACAACACTGCATCAGGTCAACGCATTTATCCAGACTATTTTCAAGTTTTAAAAAAAAGTGACCCCCTCCTCCCTCTGATGCAGACAAAACACACATACTGAACCTCATACATTCCACATGATTATAAGTTAAAACATTACACTGTGGAAATACTCTCACACACTTATTTACACACACACACACACACACACACCATTCCTTCCCTCTCAGTGATTCGTATAACCAGTTACATCAACAGACAACATGATGGATGTTTGGATGGAGCGACATGATTGATAGATGACCCACTAACGTCACATCTCACAGACACATGACCATATAAGGAAAGAGATCCATCACTGTCCGGCCCACCCTTTGTTGCTAGGCAACGATTGCTACCAGATCAATCAGGGAGCTTGACTTCAAGGTAAGAACTCTTTCATTACAGTTCGTCAACATCCCTCAGAAACCTTGTTTAACTTCTGCCTGTTTTTGGTTTGAATAAGGAGCTACAATACTTTTAAGCAGTGGCGGAGGAAGTATTCAGATACTTTACTGAAGTAGAAGCACTAATACCATGCTGTAAATATACTCTGTTACATGTGAATGTACTTGAGTATTATCAGGAAAATGCACTTAAAGTATCAAAAGTAAAAGCGTTCTGTTTTTATATAAATTAACGAATGAACTCGGCGCGCTGCTGCTCTGTCTCCTCACACAGAGTACACAGAGTACGCTCTGCTGCTCTGAGAGTGTGGTGCTCTGAATAACTGAGCCAACTGTGCTCCTGAACAGGCCAGTTTGTGACTATTTGTGAACGCACCAACAGTATAGCTAATTATATGCTATATTGATAATAGGGCTGCCCCCTAACAACTGACCAAACATTTGTCGACCAGAAAGGTCATTAGTCTGCAAGATTTCATTGGTCAGTTAGTTGCAGGAAAAATGTGAAACTCTATTAGGAGCTTGGACCTTGTTAAAATAAATCCAAACCTATATGACTGGACCATGTGCGAAGTTAATCTGAAAGGACAGACACAGGAAGTGGCCACGCTCAGCAGTCAGACAGGAGTCAGGTTAATTTCCAGGGCTGGTACCTGCGGTTATTCCACAAACCATTGTGATGCCCCGCCCAAAATATATCATTTAATAATTAAATTAATATCGTAAACATGCGGGCGACTCATCAACTAATCGCCCTAAATGACGACTATTTGTCGACTAGAAAAATTCTTAGTCGGGGGCAGCCCTAATAAATACTGTTTTATATTATTACTCGCATATTAATCTTTAAGCAGTATTTTACTGTTGTAGTTGTTGCGGTGGAGCTGATTTTGTATTGGCCTGCAAATAATGATGAAATCAGTTTGGTTTCATCTCCTGATTATTTTCTTAATCAATTCATTTATTCTACTTTATAATCATGATTATCCAGAGCTTGAAGTGACCCCTTCAACTTATTTTCACGTTTTGAGAAGTAGTAACCAGGAAATACTTGGTAATTTTGCATGAAAAATGATTCACTGATTAATGATTGCTAAATGACAAATTAAGTAATTGATTACTCGACTAATTATATAAGCAAATTTTTTATATACTGTTTGATAATTTGATCATATTTTAAAACTTCTTTGTGTTTTGCATGTAAAAAATTAATTTATAAAATAACTAAAACTGACAGATAAAGTGAAAAGCACAATATTGGTCTTGGGGCGGAGAAGGCTTGGGAGGGCAGTATACCAGGATATTTAGAAAGCAGCAGCACTGCACACAAATACTGTCATTAACCATATACCTCGGTAAAATTTAGGAAGGTATAAAAAGTAGACACCGCCCCAGCCTACAGAGGAGTGTAAGTGTCATGAAATAGTACTACTCAAGTAAAGTACAGATACTTCAGATTTGCACCACTGTAAATGTTAAACTGTCAAAATGTTCCAGTATCAATGTGGAAAATATATATGTTTTGAATTCAACACATTGGCTGCTTAGGGAAAACAAGGTTTTTTTTTTCGGGGTACTGACACATCATGTCTATGATGATTGTTTCTTTTCATTGTAGTATTTATTTTTTCAAAACTGCTACTGTTTCCCTACTTCACAACTGACTCACACAGACAGACACCAACAGACAGAGTGATATTTACAGTATTTACAACATATTTTATCCTCCGCTAACTTGCAGGCGGGAGGAGAGGCAGGGAGCTCGGGGTATGGACTGGGATGTGCCCCTTGACCTCAGTCATACTGCAGGTAGAAACCTTTGAAAGGTTGGTGAAACTTTTTTTCCAAAATTGTGAGGTTTAGAAGACACTCAGTTAATTTGAGTTACAGTACGAAGGCTGTGGAACAGGTGAAAGACGGGAGTGTTGGAAAGTGTCCCTCGGTAGAGTACACTGTGGAGACGAGGCTCATTATTTTTGGTGTTCTTCCGTTTTTTCCAAAACAAATCCGGTAATGTTTAATTTCAAGAGTTAAAGCCTTTAAAATCTGTTTTTTGAAAAATCAACATAACAAAAATACAAGCAGAAAAACATTTGTGGTTTTATGAAGAGTTACATGTTGGACCGATTTATTGGTGAACAAAACCATTTTCACATTTCTTTTTGTGTAATGATTAAATGCAGCAACTATAATGTGTTAATTACTGAGCTTTAGAGTCCCTGGTAAAGTGATTTCTAAACCTTGGACATAGTCTCCTTTAGTCTTTAGGCTAAGCTAGGCTAATCACCTCCCTGCTCCAACTTCATGCTTTATGTACAAACATGGGAATGATGTCAATTTTCCCATCCAACTTTTGGCAAGAACGCATATTTTTTAAAATGTTTTATCTTTTAAACCAACCTGCGTCTTTTTCAAAAACCAACGTATATTTTAGGGAAAATCTGTAAAAACCAAAAACAATGAGCCTCATCTGTCTGTACAGCTAATGATAAGTGCTGGGGTTTGAAGAGTGGAACCTATGGAAGGAAATGGCTGAGATTTAGGATATTAAGAAGAATTCATCAGCAGCGTAAACAGGCACAGTACTCATATATCTCCTTGGGTTGGTGGGCGCCATATAGAAGAAATGAGAAACATCCTTCAGGTCAGCGGAAGGAGAGCTGGAGGGTAAAGGCAGGAGAAATGGGATGTTTCCCAGAATAAATGGAAGACATCCTGGTTGCCAAACGGCAGGGACTACAGAGAAAATAATCCCTTTATCAGAGGGAACATTTGTTGTTGAGTCAGTTGTATATTTCCCCTATGAAAGTGGTTTGTGGCCTTTTTCAGACCCTCTGAGTTCAGTCATTCAGACCAGAGGTGAGGGCCATTTTAAGGAAATGGGTCCAGTCCCATGAGACAAGATGTGTCCAATAGCACCTTCATGGTGTCCCAGTGTTGATATGGAGTGTGTCCTTCAAGTAGCAGTGAGACGACTTCATCAGTGTCAAATGCCAAAACAAAATGGGACCCCATCTCATGTTGGAGCTTATCAAAGACAATGTAAATACTTTTCAGTACAGCAGCAGAGACGGGACTCTCGAAAGTCTTCAGTCGATTAAATGCTGGTCCAGACCAGAGGTGAGGACAGTTTCCATGAGATAAGTTGGAAATAACGATGGGGAACTTGATTTTTTTTCTAGTGGAGCAAACAGCATCTGTTCCAGACTAGAGGTGAGAAATCCTGATCAGTTTCCAGATGATAAAATGAAACGTCTCTAAAGACCAAGGAGCGAGAAACTCGTCTGGTGTCAAGTTGAAGTAATAAGTAGTAAGTTTGGTTTCTAGTAAATCAAGAAAGAAATAAAAACAGAATGAGATCTTGATGAGGGGAACTTGTTTGGTTTCCAATTGATTAAAAGGGGGCGTGTTCTAGACCACAGATGTGGGAACAACTTTGGTTTCCAATTGAAAAACAGGACATATCCTAGACCAGGTTTGAAGGAACTTGTTCAGTTTCGAATACATGAAACAGAGAGTAGAGATAAGGATACTTGATGATGATTCTAGACAGTGATGGGGACTTTGGATGGTTCCCATTAGATAAAATATGACATGTTCTAGACCAGAGGTGAGGGAACTTGTTGGTTTCCAGTACCTGAAACAGGACTGATTCTAGGGCAGATCTGAGGGTGATTCTAGACAAAGGACGTAATTTGGAAAGAACGGGACTAGTTCTAGACCAGGTTGGTGGGAACTTGTTTGGTTTCCAGTGAATGAAACCGGATGAGTCCTCGACAAGATTTGTGGGGACTTATTCGGTTTACAGTTGATAAAAGGGGACGTGTTCTAAACCAGATTTTAAGGAACTTGATTGATTGTTTGGTCTTTTAGGGTTTCCAGTACATGAAAATAAACATGTTCTAAACCAGGGGTATGGGAACTCCTTTTGTCTACGTTTTAAAAGGGACATTATCTAGACTAGGTTTGAGGGAACTTGTTTGGTTTCCATTGAATTAAATGGGATACATTCTACATCAGAGAAGGGGGTATAGATTTGGTTTCTGGAAGATAAAATACATGTTCGAGACTAGAGGGAACCTGATGGTTTCCAGTAGTTGAAGCATGACTGATTCTAGGGCAGATTTAAGAAAACTCATTTGGTTTCCAATTGATAAAAGGGGATGTATTATAGACTGAGGAGTTGAAAGTTATTTAGTTTCAGGTGAAAGAACAGGATGAGTTCTCGACCAGATTTGTGGGAACTTATTTGGTATCCAGTGGATGAAACAGGGCGAGTTATAGATCAGATTTGTGGGAACTTATTTGGTTTCCCGTGGATGCAATAGGATGAGTTCTAGATCAGATTTGTCTGAACTTATTTGGTTTCTAGAGGTACAAGAACATGCTAAGTATCCAGTAGGTGAAACAAGATGTTTTCAGGACCAAAAGTGAGAGAACTGGTTTCCCATAAAGGCAATGGGACACTTCTGGACCAGCACTGAGGCAAGTAGATTGAACAGGTAGGATTCTAGACCAGATTTGAGGGAACTTGGTCAGTTTTCAGTGGGTAAATGGGGATTTATTGTAGACCAAGAATGAGGGAACTTGTTTGGTTTCCAGTAGAAGAAACAGGAAGGTGTTCTAGATCAGATGCCAGAGAACATATTTTGTTTCCGGTAGCTGTAAAAAGTCCTCTCCTAAATTGGATGGTGGTCGACTTGTTTTGCTTCCAGAAGATAAAACTCATTTGGGCTCCACAAGATCAAACAGGATGTGCTCTGGACTGCAGGTGATAAAAATCAAGATTTTATTGGAGGGGGAAAAAAGGAAGAGTTCTAGACTAGTTTTGATTTGGGTTTCCAGTTTTTAAAAGGGGACTTGTTCAAAACCAGAGATGTAGGAACTTGTTTGGTTTCCACTGGATGAAACAGGACTAGTTCTAGACCAAAGGTTTGGGAACTCCTTTGGTTACCATTAGATGAAAGGGGGCATATTCTAGAGCAGATGTGAAGGAACTTTGTTTTCAGTGCACGAACCAGGAGTTCTAGAGCAGAGATAGGGATACTTGTTTGGTTTCCAGTAGATGAAAGGGGACGTGTTCTGGTCCATATTTGAGGGAACCTGTTTGGTTTCCTGGACGGGTCGAGACCAGAGGTGGGGAAACTTTTTGGGTTTCCGGTCGATCAAAGGGGGTGTGTTTTAAACCAGAGGTGAGGGAACTTGTTTGGTTTCCAGTATTGGGGATTCCTGCTCTGGTTCCAGTGCGTCGCCACTGGTCGGTTCTTCAGTGCTGCTCACAGTGTTGGAGTCTACGGGAGCCTCATCCTAAACAGACACATTATAAACAAGTTTTATTATGAAAGTTAACATAAAAGTCAGCACCCGGTTTATTTTTTAGCATTTATCTTGTAATTTAATGTGCTTGTGTTTTAGTTTTTGTTCTGTTTTTTGAATAACTGTACTTTTCCAAATATTTCGGTCAGTCTATTTTTAAAGAGATACTGACAAATAAGCTCAAACTGTTGCTTTCATGAAGTAACCATAGAACATACTTCTGCTTTAATGTACGTTACAAAGTGATTCTCAGAATCCAAAGTGATAAAACACACTTCCTCTCTTGTAGTCTGTATGTGTGTATTTGCGTGTTTACAGGTGTGTTCTTACCGTCACCCAGGGGTGGGACAGGACCTCCTCGGCAGTGAAACGAGTGTCAACGTTCACCTGCAGCATCTGACTGATCAGCATCTGAGGAACAGGTCATGTGACTGTCAACAGCCTGCAGTAAAACTGATTGCATTCATGTTCTGTTGAAATCTATTGCAAAAGGTATGGAAGGAATTTCACATGGATTACATGATTAGATGTTTATCCTGCAGTCGTGTCATCACAGAAACTTTTGCAACTTAAAGTTGTGCAATTTTAGTCTTGTAAACACTTAAAGGTGGCTCAGAGGTGTTTTGATTTAGTTATTAATTGTTACTTGTTTGTTTATTAACAAAAGTGTCATTTAAATATGTGATTGAATCAATCAGCACACCTTAAATTTCAACTTTGACCATTCCATTAGTTTTATTGTCTCTCTTGGATGACATCTTCAAGCGTTTATATACGGTATGTTAATTTCGGCCGGCTCATGTGAACGTCATATATTCTAATCCTCACTTGGCGGAGCGTCGTTCCTGTGGGCTACAGCAACACTAAACCCCTGAGCTTGCCTGAGAAGGACTAAAGGTACTATACCAAAAGTGTTTGGTAGAAACGGGGCTTATGAGTAAGTGGTACCTTGGCTGGGAGGCTGATGGTGTCCCAATCTGGAGACGGAAACTCCAGCTTCCCTCTGAGAATCTGATCAAACAGCTCCTCCTGGACGTTATTCTCACTGAGGACAGGAAGAGGAAGGAAATGTTATGAATCAACTGCACCAAAATTACATCATATTTATCAGTCAACAGCGTTAATTTTACATGATATACCAGAGGGAACTTTGGTATTTATTTAACCTGGACCGTGTTTTTCCAGGTTTTTGTGTCTGAGCGAGGGAACACCCTCTTCATCTTCCCCGAGGAAGATGTGCCTCAACTGTTTATGTGATTTAAAGCAATTGTCACTGACAGGCTCAGATTATTAAAGTGTCTGACAACATTACAGAAAGGACCCTTCAGACAAATGAAACCTTTTTCTGTACCTTTTACTTGCTCCAGTCTGTTTTGTGTCCAAGTCTTGCTAATGAGAGGTCCCGTTCCAAAATCTCACAGATTTTTTCACAGTCAAAATCAACTAAATATTCAGCCCTGACACTGAAAATCTTTTGGAGAAGAGTGAGACACATTTTCTGTACATAACAAACTACTACCAATACTATACTATACCTATACTATAGTGCTGGTAGTAGTTTGTTATGTAGAAGTATGCAAAGTGTGTCTTAGGGTGCTTTCACACCTGCCCTGTTTGGTTTGCCTCAATCAAACTCAAGTTCATTTGCCCCCTACGTGCGGTTCGTTTGGGCAGGTGTGAACACAGCAATCACACTCAGGTGTGCACCAAAACAACCGGACCGAGACCTTCTTGAAGAGGTGGTCTCGGTCCGGTTTCAAACGAACTCTGGTGCGGTTCATTTGTGGTGAGAAGGTGTTCCGACCTGGATGTGAAGCAACTGCAGTCACATGACACATTGTTTGGGTTAAACATGAGCATGTTACAGTCCTGGAGGATTATTAATGTGCACCTCCTCCTGTACTGCCTTAATATGCACATTCAGCACATCCAGTGCATCAAAACATTGTTTTCTAGTTGGAGCCGCGCCTCGTTTTCAAACGTTTTCAAAAAACTGCTGTTCCCATGAGTCACTTAGACACAAAAACATTGTAAAACAGGGTCCAGGTTTACAAAAAAAAACAGAGTTCCCTTTTAATAAAATACAAACTGACACAGTTGTTTACCCAGATTTCATTTACACTGACCTTCTGAATGGAGGGAATCCACACAGCAGGATGTAGGTGATCACTCCTGCCGCCCAGATATCCACCTTCAGACCGTAACTACACACACATACACACCACACTTTAATATTGAAGTGTGTGTTAACTTTTTCTTATCACCAACTTAAACTCTGTATTTCTCTCACCCAGTCTCTGCGATGATCTCTGGGGCGACGTACGTCGGCGTGCCACAGACGGTGTACAGCGGTCCCTCCACCACCGTCGCCAAACCAAAGTCACCCAGCTTCAGTGACTTAGTGCCGTCTGGGTACTCACACACCTGCAGTACATACAATCAAAGCTTCAAATACACACAGTACACACACCAAAGCCTAATGAGAATGCTTACACTCACTGTGCTTATTCACTTCCTGGCAGAGAGTTCGCTTATGTGCAGGAATATTTCTTTTATGCTACGTTCACACTGCAGCAACAACGTGACCAGCTACACTATCTGGGCACTTTTTACCTGCCATACATGCCTTTCCACTACACCTTCCTGCCAGCCTATCACCTGTCCACACATCCCCACCACACCCATCTCATCGAGCTAATGCCCCTCACCTGTCTCTGACTCTCCTGCAGGTAAACCACTCATGAGCTTTCATTCTATGCTTCTTCAGTTTTGGCCTGTGTGTGTGTGTGTGTGTGTGTGTGTGTGTGTGTGTGTGTGTGTGTGTGTGTGTGTGTACGTGTACCAGCAGGTTCTCTGGTTTGATGTCTCGGTGGACGATGTTCATCCGGTGCAGGTACTTGATGGCTCCGGCCAGGTTGAACACCATGGCGCTAGCGTCACGCTCACTGTACTTGGTGGAGGAGGTGATGGCGTCGAACAGGTCGCCGCCCTGAAGGAGGCAGAGGCATGAAAACAGTTGGTTAAATATTTCGTCACATTCTTAGTTGCAGAGTCAAACAGGAAGAAGAAGAAAATGATGATGATGATGATGAGGCCTGACCTTGACGAGCTCCATGACCAGGAACAGCTGACTGGGCGTTTCATCCACCTCAATTAACTGGATGATGCTGGGATGTCGAACTCTCCGCAGCACCGCCACTTCATTTTCTATCAGGTGCTCCTGTTCACACACAAACATAGAAAATATCTAGCAAAACCTTGACAGTATGAATATATGCTAATCTCTAATTGGCTGCTGGTGGTTTAAATTTAACACTTGGAATATGTTAGATAATCATTTTTGAGGTGTGCATGAGTTTATTCCTGTTACGTCCAGTTCAGACCAAAAATTTATGACGAGACGAGTTGAAACAGGCAACTACCGTCAATGCTCCATTCTAAAAACCTGCCGGTTCACACCGATGCAACCAGATGAGACGGTGTATCATCACTATGCAACAACTCTCTGTACTTCTGTTCTGATTTGCAGCTTTTCGGACTTATTTTGAGGCTGAATATAATTTGTAGCTTCTCAAAATCTGAAAGAGCATAGTGATAGTTAAATACTGGCTACATTGATGAAACCGGCTAGTTCACACAGCCGCAACTTTTCTCCACAATGTTCCAAAACGGTTTTGTCTAGTCAGGAATCTTCGGTCTGAACTGGGCTTTAGAATAAATCTGGAGTATTAATGCTACAGTGTTAGTGTTACCTTCCCACAGCAGCGAGCTTTATCGATGATCTTCAGAGCAAACTCCTGTCCTGTTGACCTGTCGATTAAAACACATTGAATTTGAAATTAGAATTTTCATTAAAGTAACTACAGTGTTAATAATTAAACTACCATCTAGCTATTATATTTTAATCACTCTTAAATGTTGTGTCAGAAAAAGCCAAAAATAAGAAAAAAAACTCAGTGTCACATCTTTAAATGTCTTTAAATGTCTTGTATACTCTAAAATACTCAGTTTACGATTATTAAATTGACAGATGCATGTTTCAGAGGCTGAAATCCGCAAATGATTTTGATTGATTAATAACCTAATGATTATGTCAATTAATTTAATTTAATAATCCTCCAGGACTGTAACATGCTCATTCTTAACCCAAACAATGTGTCATGTGACTGCAGTTGGTTCAGATCCAGGTCGGAACATGTTCTCTCACAAACCAACCGCACCAGAGTTCATTTGTAACCTGACCGAGACCGCCTCTTTAAGAAGGTCTCGGTCTGGTTGTTTTGGTGCACACCTGAGTGTGATTGCTGTGTTGAGTTTGATTAAACCAAACTAAATGGGGCAGGTGTGAAAGCGCCCTTATACATCACTGAATCCTCGCAGTGATCCTTCTGCTGGAGGCCTTTCATTTAACTACACGGATATTTTTCTTTTCTGTGTCGTCTGTACTGTTCATAGTGTTTTGTCGAAATGGTATAAAAACAAAGTGTATTTTGAGGGTTTTTTTTCATTATTTAAATTGTACCTTTTGACGTTCCTTACCTCTCCACGCACTCTTTGACCACAGCAAAGTTTCCGTCTCCGATCACTTTACCGACCTGGTACTTCTCGTTGATGATGGAGGACGAAACGGAGCGATTCCCGTTCACTGTGAGGAGAGGAGAGAACGGTTTTAAGGCATTTTCATATTAGGTACGATGAATTTGTGCAGCGCCTCAGTGTATTTTATCTACAAGTGCACATCACACACTGAGCGAGCCGCCTGTTAATGACGCTGTGGGCTAATGGGCATGTAGCTACTTCCATGTTTCAGATGATACGTCATGTTTGTAGTCGACCAATGAAAATGAGTTTACATATCACCTTGGGTTTGTCCTTCACCTTCTCAAAATGATCCCACACTTTGGATTTCCTGCCCGACATGTTATTAACTAGCCTGTGGAATAACCGCAGGTACCAGCCCTGGAAATTAACCTGACTCCTGTCTGACTGCTGAGCGTGGACACTTCCTGTGTCTGTCCTTTCAAATTAAATTCCCACATGGTCCAGTCATTTAGGTTTGGATTTATTTTGACAAGGCGCAGCTCCTCATAGAGTTTCACCTTTTTTTCTGCAACGAGCAACCAATGAAATCTTGCCGACCAATGACCTTTCTGGTCAACTAATGTTTGGTCGACTGTTAGGGGGCAGCCCTAGTTAAAAAACAGTCCACTTAAGCATTTTGGTACAGCTGGTTTTCACTCTTGATGCAAACCACACCAATGTACACATGAACCGCACTTAAGATCACCTTTTCAAGTGGACTCAAGCACAGACTAACACACCTTTGAATCCACATTGTTCACACTAATCAAACAAGCTGAACTTTTGAGTGCAGTGTACTCAGATTTGGATCCAAGCCCAAATGTGAAAGCCTCCTTTGTTGACTTTTATACTTGGCTGAGTTTAGTTAACTTTGAGCCGCTGCTCTCTCTGTAACCAAACAAGTTCCAGGAGTCTGACATCTGTTATTCACACGTCAACTTTGAAAATTCTCTTGAGCCGAGAAACTCAAAAGATTTCCTGCCACCTTTTCACACCTTGAACCCCTGAGTCTCTTCCACTTCAAAGGTTTTCAGTCTTTGACTTCCAAACACTCTCAAGACTCTCAGAGTGAAAGCCGGGACTAACCCTTGATGCCAGAGGCTTTCAAGCTGCTGCTGACTCATACTATTGCACAGAGATTTTAGGGACTCTTTTCTTGAGATGCATGTTTTCCTTTCACTCCTCATCAACAAAAATACAAGTCTGGAAAGTGTCCACACACCTTCGACAGCGGTGTCATCTGTCTGCTCTGCCTCTCCGTTTACATCTGTGGAGGAAGCACGACGAGGAGACATCTACAGAGGAAAGTAAAAAGAGAGTCAGATGCAAGATGGAGAAGTGGAAACAGACACATGGAAAGAGTTCCTGATTCATGATTTAAAGAAACGCAGTTCGTGAATACATTCTGAAGATTGGGAAAAAAGCTAAATTCAACGCAAAGATGGAGCCTGCTGTAAAATGACAGATTACACAACAATTATATGTTTGTTGTAATATTAGTTTGTTTCTTGTAAATCACTGGTTTCATCATGATACAACTGATTCTTTGGAAAACGATACAATATTTGCCGATATTACGTCTGCCACGATATCATTTCGATACCATGCAAGACTTTCAAAACAAAAGCGTATCTTAAAGATGATGATATTGATAAATGTTTTCTCTTTGCATCGATGACATTGGGTCTTTGATCACTGAATCGATGTATCGATCCAGATCGATGGTTTGTTACACTGTTAACAGGCTGTTTACATCAGTGTTTCTTGTACATCTGCAGATACTTTCTCATATGATCAGCTGAAAAACACAATATGCCAGTTTTCTATCTATAAGCCGAGCTGTTTACCAAATGTATGAGATTAATTTAAACAAATTATTTCCACATCAGTCACTTCTGTTATTCAGTTTTAATTCACACACTGTAATAATGGTTAAAAAATATGTATCAAAAAAGGCGAACCCAGCTGCTGCTGCCAAAACCAACTGATCAATCAATCAATCCATCTGACCTTGAGGTTGCGTCGTGTCCCAGGGCTTGTGGGGGAGGGGCTGGATCTAGAGGACTTCCCCGCTGAATGCGATCCTGAGGCCTCATTGGCTGCTCACGCACACAGAATAGAAAGAAGTCATCTGATTGGTTAAAATATCCTGATAACAACAAACTATGGAAACATTTTAGGATAATTTAAAGCAGCTGTTTCCCATTCGGTTCACACCTGGACCTGGAGACTTCGTTCTGGGCAGGCCTTTAGGTGGAGTCCTGGAGGAGGAGAAGCCAGAGCTGCTGGGGCTCTTGGGAGTTGTAGTTTTTGCAGGGGCGGTGGAGCGAGATGCCTTGGCTCTGCACTCTGGCGAGAGAGAGAGAGAGAGAGAGATGAAGATTTTTACACCTTTACACCTTTACTCTGATTAAAATATCTTTCCAAAAGTTAACAAGTGATGGGCAGCTCCTAAACATTTGGATGATTTTCAGGGGTTTGGGATCCACATCCTGCTAGATTTTGGATAGTCTTGTTCGGTCCAATGTGTCTTATGACTGTTTACATAGTAAAAGTCCATGCCCAGCACAGATAGAGGAAGTGTCTACCCACTTGAGTGCCTCCTCCAATTGCTCCACAGATACTTCCTCTCCCAGTTCCTCCTCTGATGAGGACCTAATGTTGTTTCGTGAGGTCGTTTGTAGAGAACAAATGTGTCTACAGATAATTGACAGGGTGCCTTTCAAAGTAGGAAGTGGGGCAAGAAGAGTGTCAAACTGTGTCTCGTCAGGAAGAGTGGGGGATTGGGGATCCATACTATGGATGTAACTACGAATCTGTAAAAAAAATTATGCTCAGGAGGCGAAATTTGACCAAGAGTTGCTCAAAAGTAGCAAATGTATTGTTGATATACAGGTCTCTAAACCTTATGATACCAGGAGTGGACCATGTTGAGCAGCACCATCAGCCATAGATAGAGGAAAAGCTGGGTTTGACAATACTGGAGCATAAAAAGAATTTGTTTGAAGTCCAAAATGGCGTCTGAATTGGTTCCATACCTTCAGCGTTGATGTGACATATATATTTTTTGTGAAGGAGTAAGGACCGGTTACGGAGGAGTGAACAAGGGAAGACGATGGTGGTGTCGACAAAGCAACCTCCATATGCTGGCCTGTTTTTAGTTTTAACTTTGGTGATCTCTTTAATTATTGTTTCTCAAACTTCATCCAAAATGAAAACATAAATGAATGTATTGAAATGTGTGTCCTGTGTCCTGTGTGTTGTGTGTCTCACCGTTAACAAAAGCAGGTGTTTTGCTGCTGTGTGTGAGCACAAAGTCGTCCTGAGCGTATCGAAACTTCTCCGGCCCGCACGCCATGAACACATCGTCGTCTCCAAAAAAATCCTGCAGACAGGTCAGCTACACAGACACACACAAACACTGATTAATCAAACGTTTCAAAACACCGCAGTGCACATGGGAGTGTGTGTGTGTGTGTGTGTGTGTGTGTGTGTGTGTGTGTGTCTGTCTGTCTGTCTGTCTGTCTGTCTGTGTGTGACAAAGCAGGCAACAGCTGGAGTATTCTAACACAGACGTTGCTGTCTTAGAACGGTCTGAGGATTAAACAGTACATCACAATGTCCCAGATTTAAACAGAGGGACGAGGGATAGACAGACAAATTGCAGGAGATAACAGGTGAAGAAAAGAGGGATCAACAGAGGAGTGAGAGGACGAATTAAACACAGAAACTGTCAGAGGCCAGGTCAATACTGGAGGAAGTAAAAGTACCAACACAACAATGTAGAAATACTCCGTTACAAGTCAAAGTCCTGCGTTAAAATCATACTGTAGTAAAACTACACAAGTATTTACAGCTTAATGTACTTGTCCTCTGTTTTACTATATTTGATTAGATTATTACTGATGCATCAAGTACTATTTTCAGTCCAACTACTTTTAGTTTTAAACAGTTACTCCACCTAAATACTACTTTATACCTATTTAGAGTTTCTAAAGGTTTATTACATCCAAATACCACTTTCTGTCAAAGGACTTTTAAAGGTGTCTTTCGCCCAAGAACTACCTTCTGTCCAAGTACTTTAGTTTCTTTATTTATTTTAACCAAATACTACTATATGTCCAACTGCTTTGAGTTTAAAAGGTTTATTTTACCTAAATACTACTTAATGTCTTAAAACATTTGGTTTAAAAGGTTTATTCCACCTAAATACTACCTTCTGCCCAAGTGCTATTGATTTAAAAAGTTTGTTTCACCCAAATACTACTTTCAGTCCAACTACTTTTAGTTTTAAACAGTTACTCCACCTAAATACTACTTTATACCTACTTACAGTTTCTAAAGGTTCATTACATCCAAATACCACTTTCTGTTCAAGGACTTTTAAAGGCATCTTTCACCCGAGAACTACCTTCTGTCCAAGTACTTTAGTTTCTTTATTTATTTTAACCAAATACTACTATATGTCCAACTGCTTTGAGTTTAAAAGGTTTATTGTACCTGAATACTACTTTATGTCCAAGAACTTTTGATTTAAAAGGTTTGTTTCATTCAAATACTACTTAAGTCCAAGAACATTTGGTTCGAAGGGTTTATTCCACCAAAATACTACTTTATGTCCAAGAACTTTTGTTTTTTAAAGGGTTTATTTGACCTAAATACTACTTAATGTCTTAAAACATTTGGTTAGAAAGGATTATTGCACCTAAATAGTACGTTCTGCCCAAGTGCTATTGATTTAAAAGGTTTGTTTCACCCAAATACTACTTTATGTCCAAGAACATTTGGTTCGAAGGGTTTATGCCACCAAAATACTACTTTCAGTCCAACTACTTTTAGTTTTAAACAGTTACTCCTCCTAAATACTACTTTCTACCTACTTAGAGTTTCTAAAGGTTTATTACATCCAAATACCACTCTCTGTTGAAGGACTTTTAAAGGCGTCTTTCACCCGAGAGCTACCTTCTATCCAAGTACTTTAGTTTCTTTATTTATTTTAACCAAATACTACTATATGTCCAACTGCTTTTAGTTTAAAAGGTTTATTTGACCTAAATGCTACTTTATGTCGCAATACTTTTGATTTAAAAGGTTTGCCTCACCTAAATACTTTATGTCCAAGAACTTTGAGTTCGAAGGGTTTATTCCACCCAAATACTACTTTGTGTCCAAGTACTTTTGATTTAAAAGGTGTATTTTACCTAAATACTACTTCGTGCCAGAGAACATTTGGTTTGAAGGGTTTATTCCACCAAAATACTACTTTATGTCCAAGAACTTTTGGCTTGAAGGGTTTATTCCACCTAAATACCACCTCATGTCCAAGAACTTTTTGTTTAAAAGGTTTATTCCACCTAAGTACTACATTCTGCCCAAGGGCTATTGATTTGAAAGGTTTGTTTCACCAAAATACTACTTTATGTCCAAGACATTTTGGTTTAAAGGGGGGTTTATTTCACGTAAATACTACTTAATGTCTTAAAACATTTGGTTTAAAAGGCTTATTCATCTAAATACTACCTCATGTCCAAGAACCTTTTGTTTAAAAGGTTTATTCCACCTAAATACTACGTTCTGCCCAAGTGCTATTGATTTAAATGGTGTGTTTCACTCAAATACTACTTCATGTCCAAATACTTTTGCTTTAAAATGTTTATTTTATCCAAATACCACTTTCTGCCCATGTACTTTAGGTTTGAAGGTTAACTCCACCCAAATACTGCTTTCTGTCTCTTGACTTATATCACATCCATCCCATCCTCCACCACATCCACCTCTGCATCGCTCCATCCACCCCTCACCCACATCCTCAAAAAATTAGGGTCCTACAACTGCGGTCCTGAAACTGCAGCTTCCTCTGTTGAAGGAACCTGCTTCTCTCTTTGAGCCTCCAATAGTTATTGAAATGAAACCACGTGAAATATTTAGAGGGGAACTGTCTCTGAAATGTGACAAGAGGCACCAAGTAGACGGTTGTTGTCTTCAGATATCACAACACAAAATTACTCCAAAACACTGGTTGAGTTAGTAAAGTAAGAGTACCTCAGAACTGTAGTTGAATCAGTGTGCTCAGTTACTGTCCACGACTGCCAGTCTTAATGCTAAGCTAACTGGCTGCAGCTTCATATTTGATGGACAGACTGAAGTATATTTTTTGAAATCATCTCTTTAACAGAGAGCATTTACAGCACTACAAAGGGATTTTAATGAGTTACTGTGAAGAAACTGGCTGCAAAACACATCCACGAGTGTGTTCCTTTGTACGTTTTACACAATAGCTTCACACCTTCCTCTGTTTACGTCTTTTTCCCTCAGTTTCTCCGCTCGACACCTTATTTTCTTCCTCCTCCTGACTTCCTCCTTTCCTCCCTCCTTTTGTCCTCGATTTCACCTCTCACTCCTCCCCGTTTTACTTTTTACTCAACGCCTCCGGAACTGCACAGACTGTGTGTGTGTGCGCGTGTGTGAGTGTTTGTGTGGTGATGGTGTGTGTGGAGCAAAGACAGGGTTGTTACTGGATGACTGGTTACCATGGCAACTACACTGCAGTGTCAATGTGTGGTGTGTCTGTGTGTGTGTGTGTGTGTGTGTGTGCATGTGTGCGTGTGTGATGGGGTTTCTATCCCGCTGCTTGAGGTGGCTGCACAAACTGAAAGGACGAAGGCGAGGACACACACGAACAACACACACACACACACAGTTTCATTCAGACTGACTGAGCCTGAGAGCTGTCTGAGGCAGACATAGAATAAAAGCCTTCGTTATGACACGCTGCCTTCAAAATAAAAGCCTTCAGAGAACATGATTGGGCAGAAATCCCATAATAACCTTTGTGCATATTGTAATTTAAGTGGAGAGAATACTAGACTTCTGCACCTCCTCTTGGCTTCGTTCTCCAGTTTTAGAAAGTTAATCCTGTGGCATCAGACTCTGGCCAATTGCAGCTACAAATGTAGATTTGTGTGCACGTCCCTTCAGATGGTGAACATCTGATTCAATGGTGGGCAGTCCTGCAGAAAAAGTTGCTATTCCAGCATTGGCAACAACTGCCTCCGCTGCAAAGCAACCCAAAGAAGGAAGACAGACTTATCACACAGAGTCTAAAAGAGAGTCTGACAATAAACGGAGCAAAACGTGTCAATATCGGTGAAGTGAAGAGAAAATGTTGCTAAAAGTTTAGCCTTCTGCTTCTGTTAATGCAGCTAATGTTAGCTAGACCCTCAAATCACAGTGTCCTCCGCCTCACTTTCCGACACTACAGACCCAGTCAGCAGCCACACTAACCCAAATCCAGCCGGCGCAAACCCCAGTTCTGGAAGACCAGACAGCCCCGACTCCTTACTGGATCAGCAAACTTTCTGTTGCTGCCATTACAAAGGGAAATTACTGTGCAAACTTAGTCTGGTTATTTTTGTCTGAAATCATTGCACGCCTAAAAATAAAAACAACCTCACATTGTGTCAGCTACGTCTGCACACTGACTTAGACACTTTTGTCCATCATTGAAAATCCCAGAACAGGTTTGATTTTCTGTTTTTCACATCCGTCAGAGCCTTTAGAGACGAATCAGTGAAGAAAATGAAGCGGAGGGACACAGCTGCGATGAGACGGAGGAACGGGGCGCACAGTATTCCTTCATAACTCAGACAGCCACTTTCAGCAGGTCAGATAGTAATATTCAGGTGGATGATGATTACGAGGAGGATGTGGACCACACACAGAATGTGGAGGACAGCTCCGCCGCTTCATGCAAATGAAAGGTGACGGCCTGATAGGTAACTCCTGTGGAGAGAGGCGAAGGAGGAAATGTGGCTTTTTGTTTTGTCACGTATTGTGTGTTTAATGATTTGGTTTTTTTCGGTTGACGGATTAAAAAAACTTATCTGAAAAAAACGGACTCAGTGTGCAAAGGCCTTTAGACCCAGCTTGCGCTGCTGCTTGCCACCAGCCTGCTGTGATCCTCCAGCACTGGAGGGTTTGCACTGGCGGAATTCGAGCCACTTTAGCTGCCAACTGAAGCTCTGTTTCCGTAGCTGCTGCCTGCTCTCCTCCCGGGGAAGCAGTCCACAGCGGCGGGGAGTGGCACGGAGGGATGGCGGGTTGCTAGCAGCTGATTCTTGTCTCATTTGTGGTCTGATAAACTTTGCTTAAATCTTTGATAAATCTTTTCTTTACTGTATGAAACTCATGCATATGGCTGTGGTCGTCTGGTGGGAGGGGCTTGTATGTTGAATTCTGCCATTTATTTGGCCTTTTCCAGATTTCTGCCTCCCCCAGCTTCAACACAACAGTTTCTAATCAACTACTTGCTTCAGCTCTGATTTCCAAGCGTGACATCTGTGAGCTACAGGGGTTTATTAGGTGTTTTTTAGTTTGTTAAAACAGTGACTGCCTAAAGATTAAAAATGATCTTAAACACATACACAGGATGTAAAACAAACATATGTTTGTGTGCACACATTATGTTCTTATTTTTTAAACAATTTTTAAAGCAACATTACCTTTCAGCCAACACTACATCTTTATTAAACACACGGTCGTCTGACACAGAGTTCTTTTGTAATATTTTACCAGATGGTGTGGTTCTCAGATCTTCTGAACTCTGTCAGTGTGAGATAATCCGCTACCCAATATTTGCATATTTTAGTATTACCGTTATGACTGATCTGATGTGACCTTAGTGAATTGTCATCCATCGATGGTGCTGTGCTTTTAAAACTGCACAGATGTTCCCAGTCGCAGAAACAACATACTGTTACTTTAGCCTTTTTCACACTGCTGTTGGCCCCCGGGCTGAGAAAGCTTTCACGCTGGCACAATCCAACGTGGCTAACTTGCAGGGTAATCTCCTGAAAATTGACTAATCACAGGGCTAAAAGTTGCCAGTGTGAAACAGCTAATGGACTTTGTGTCACGTTTCTGATATCCAACCATACCACTTGAGCAGATTTCAGTCATCAGTGCAACATCAGTATGGTAACTACTACTACTCATAGTTTTTATGACTAATCTTGTATGTTTTCTGTGGTGTTCATATGTCTGATTACTCACTTATTTGTCTTCATTTTTTAGTGGGAATAAAAAACGTACGTAAAAACACTGTAAAGAAAAAAGTTACATGTCAAATTTGAGCTGAATATTTCTCAGGTTGTCACATTTTTTAAATAAAACGAAATGAAAGCTTTTAATTTGAAGCCAACATCGATGCAAACATTGCTTTTAGTTTGTCAAGGCCAATGCTGCAGCTGCATCTGATCAAATACAAACAGGGCTGCACGAATTGTGCAGTGTGTTTGTGGGCAGACACTGATGTGTGTAGAACTCCGAGCTGGGTTCGCTGCAACAACCTTCCTTCAGTCACACCGACGCCCCGACAAGCTCTCTGCTGTCTCTGCTTTTCCTCAGCTCTCCACTGTCATTGTGTCACAGCCAGTACAGTTATCTGTAACTTCAAAGTGTGTGTGTGTGTGTGTGTGTGTGTGGTAAAAATAGACCCGCCTGTGAACGTGTGTTACGTTTTAAACCCACTATCCTTTTCTCGATATGAGCTGCACAAAAGAGCTTCAGAGAGGATCAGAGCATATTCAGAGACATAAAAATTTACTCTAGCTGACTGTCGCAGTTTCACGGCTTTAAACAGACACCATGTTTCACTGAAGTACCAAATATTAAGCTTCAAAGAGCCTGAACTCACTGTGCCGACACACTTCAAACTGAAACTTCCATCATAAAGATGCTCTTTTATACATAATCCAAACAGATATTGAACACAGTCACAGCAGGAATTTTCGAATAAAGTAATTTGATTCTTTCCCACTCACCCTCAGCCTCTGTTATCTGATCTCACTTCAGTTTAGGGATAACAACACAATATTTAGATCAATATTTCACAATATACAAACCTCACACATGAAAAACAAACACTTCGATAATTCATGATGCCAGTTTTTTTTAAAGAAAGTTTCCTTGGTGGCTGTCCTGTGTATGTTAAAGTAAAAAGATTCAGTGGTAGCTTTAAAGATTTCTAACATCTGAAACTCAGAGAAACTTTTCATTTTCAGACCTGCAGACTCCCTTTAGATTCTGTAGCAATAACTCTGACAGGAAAAGCAAGATTAAAATGGTTTTATGGAGTGTACCAATGCAGCAACCAGTCTGGGACACTCCGATATAAACCTTCAAACTGTCACAGTGTGCACCTCCAACCTGCCGTACATGCCATTCTCCCAATTTGGTCATGGACCTTCAACGTCCACATACGACGTGCAAGGTACCCTGGGTGTGTTGGTTGTTGACGTTCTGGGACATTGTGTTAAGTTCTGCCTGTTACATGCATTGTCTTCTTTCAAAATACTCTTCTGTTTATACAAGAAATTTAATGTTGACATAGAGTCTCTTTCAAAATAAAAGCACTACGTTGGTACAACACCGCGAATCGATTTTTTTTTTTTTCCTTCAACAACAAAAACACGTGGTTAGATTCAGGAAAAAACAACAGGGTTTGGCGTTAGAATCTTACGGGACATGAACACTGCTCTCAGGTGAAAGTCTGTGTTTGTTGGACCCATCCACCACCGCTCCCGCCCGCCCCAATTGGACTTTCACCATCTTAACTTTCGTCCTTGTCTCACCGACGTTAAAGGATGGCTTTCTTGTTGGTTTCTTACTACGCAAGTCACTGCCCAAGCGTCCGATTTTGTCAACTTCGGAGTGAGACTGAGCTCAATAAACTGTCCCTTCTATCTTTGGTGCTGCTATTTGGTTCAAACCACACTCATTACGCAAACTTTTGCAGCATACACACATCCGTGTTTCCACATTACGACTTGAAAGCTCATACAGACACACTAATTTGGGATATGGGACCATCCAGGAGAGCTCCTCCAACACACAGTTTTACACCTTTGTGAAAAGAATAACAAGCAAAAGTATGTACAGAAAAGAAGTTAAAAGAACAAAAGGTTGTTTCTTATTTAAAAAACAAAACAAATTAACTCCGTAGCTGTGTTGCATTCTGGTATATTTTCTGCTTCTGTGGGTGCAGAATTTTTTCTTTGTGTGGTTTAATTGTTGGATTTCTCGCTGTATGAGTGCTGAATGTCTGAATGGCACCAATACCTGATGTCGAAAGAAACATTTTCTCCACTGAAGCTGCTGAACGTCTCGTATCAGTGGTAAGAACTCAAAACTTGATTGTAAATTCAGATTATTAAAGACCAAAAACAAACATCCTCTCACCTGTTTCCCATCCAGCGTGTACAGCCTCTTCACGGCCCCGGAGTCCAGCTTGATGGCCTCCGTGATGTCGGCCAGCACTTGTTCAAAGGAGTGAGCTGTCTTCTTGTTCAGCAGGATCCTCACCGCCTTGCGAGGCTTCACGCCGCTGCGGATCACCGTCACCAGCTTGGGCTTGATAAAGTCTTTGCTCTCCCTGCTCTCACGACCTTCGGGACGATCTTTGGAGGAGCTGGTGCTGGCTGACACCCCTGTCGATGCTGTGGAGGGCCGACTTGAGCTGGCAGGTCCCGCCCCGGCGCCAGCACCCGGCTTCCAGCTCGGGATGGAGATCTTGGTGTAGTCGACTTTTCGGTAAGGCTCGTTGGAGGCACAGACGTAGCACTCCCCTGAGCAGAGAGAGGGTGGGTAAAGTTTAATTACATCTAACAAAATGTAAAGCAGCATTATGAAAATGGGGACGGTACGGAACAGAGTTTATTTTCTACAATAATCCAAAACCCAATGGAAGAATCCCAATAGCTTTTTGACAAGGGAACCAGGGTGACATTAACTTATGTTCGAGCGGATAAACACAATTTAATGAGGTCTTTACTCAGGATGTTCCTGGCGACTAATTTCCCTGTTGAATAAATTAGAATACTAATTCAGACTAGTCGACTCGTCTAAAAAAGGGAAACCCCCCAAAAATATTGTGTGCATTAAGAGCACTTTGAAACCTTAAGTCTGGTTTGGCCAGAGGACATCTCTCCAATTTCCCACCGTGCTGTTTTAAAACTCCAGTCTTCGGTTTGTAGCACCCACTAGTGGCGGGAGGCTGCATGACAGTTAAGCAGCCTTGCACATGAGTAAAACACTAATTGACCTATGGGTAAGCCCCGCCCTAAAATGTGATGAGCCAATCACAGTGCATATAGCCATTCCCATACACTCGGACATTCTCTGCCTGGACGTCCATTGAAATGCATTACAGAAAGTCAGTTTTGTTCGGTTTTATGAGCTTTTTCAGAGATTTGAAGTTTAAAAATGGTCAAACGGTGTGCATGGGGTACATGCAACTCTGACACAAGGTATCCTGAGAGGCTGGGCGACGAGGTGTATTTTTTACACTTTAAACCACATCTCAACCGAGAAAAGTGTCTCCTTTGGATAAAGTTGTGTGGTAACGTTAGACCACAACATCAACTCAACGTGAATAAGATTAACGATGATGTCTACATCTGTTCTAAGGTAAGTCAACATTGTGTTTGAGGCAACATATTGTCACTTTGCTGGAAATATAAAGTTATCTTTAACATCTCTAGCTAACGTTAGCTAAAGTTAGCCTAATGTTAGCTCCTAGCTGCGTTGTTCATCATGTCACCTTGTTTGCTGGGAGTTCATTAGCCTATTTTGTTCTAGTTTTGTACTTTGGTGATCGTACATCTTTGTTAGCTGTTGTCCAAAGGGCTCTAGTTAAGCTAACGTTAACTTCTGGAGCTTAGCTTCATTAACTTACCTGTAATGGCAGAGATAACAAAGGCACCAAACTAACGGAGAGACACTCTTGGTAAAGATGGTAAAAAGGCCGTTACCCTTTTCTCATATTCTGAGCCAAAAACCTTAACTTCAGTGGCACTTTAACTTGTTGTCTTTGATGGTGACGGCAACCAGATGCGGTTCACAAGCGTACACTGTGACCTGTAAATTTTGGCTTGTAATTTAAGCTTTTCATGGACCTTCTCAACAATAAAATGATGAATATATCCCTCCAATGCGTAGTTTAGGCCCTTTTGGTTACTTCTCAATGACATCTGATCGTTATGTCCCCAAAAATCATCAATTGCCTCCTGTGAAATGCCGTGTACTGTGACACCTGCCATAGCGCCGCTCACTGAATGTTGATAGTTTGTCCGAGTGAGTGGAGGGGGCGTGGCTTAGCCATAGGTCAATTGGTTTATTCGACTGATATTTCTGGTGCCGACTAGCGAGGGGGCAGACGTTTAATGTTTAGACATCTAGTCACGTGCATCCCTAGTCTTTACACCTTACATCACTTTTTTTAAAATACAGATTAAAAAATTAAAACGCACCACACTTTACACTCACTAAATGTACAGCGCGTCTCCTCCTACAGAAACGTTACACTACACCTCATCATGTGGACAAAGGAGACGGTTTAGCAAACGGTCAATTTAACCTGATCTTAAACATCTTAAAAGCACAGTAATGCTATTAATTTTTCATCTCCTTTAAGTGATGTAGCTTTAATGAATTAAATGTTTTGTGTTAAAATAATAAATTAAAGTTCTCTGGCAGGTTGCAGCCAATCACATGTTCAGTCCAGTAGCCCGCAGTCACTCTCCTGTTTTACCTTATATGGTTAAAACGGCTCACCTTCTGTCTCTCCTCATGTTACTGTTCCTCTTTATATCTATCTGACGGTACAGCTCACCGTCTTCTCTCCTTTTCCCTCACACTAACTCGTCAGCCTCAATAACACAGCTTTTTCTGTCTCACTCTTTCATCCTGATTACATGTTCACACGCCAGGTTGTGTGTGTGTGTGTGTGTGTGTGTGTGTGTGTGTGTGTGTGTGTGTGTGTGACCTTGTCTCTCCAGGTGCTGACTTTCACTTTGCTATTCAAATCAGCTGGACAGACTCTCTGGGTTTATATTCAAACACCTGACTGATAAACCATAAAAACACACAACACCTTCTGTGTGAGCAACAAGGTGCTGACATGGACTGTGGTTACAGGTTCACACTCCTGCTGAGGACCAGGCTAGGACAGACTGGAATCTAAAAGCATTTTATGACACATATATTTATTTGTCAGGGATTTAATGCAGCAATAATCTCACACAAGGAGAAGAGGTGTATTGTTCAGATTCAGCAACAAGCGACTGTCCGTCTGCAGGTAGACACTAATAAAAAACGAATGCGATTAATTCATAATACAACAGTAATACTAAATTCATAGATTCATACAAATGCGTGTGTGTTGGTGTGTAAACCTGAGCTGCTATTGACACGTCAGGACAACATTTATAGCTGATGTACTTTATTTTAATCCGTTAGATGACAGGAACTTTCTTTTAAAGCAATTATCAGGCAAAAAATGCCAAATATGTGTATCGCTGTATTTTTTCTTTCTTTTTTTTAACTGTGCCACATCTATACTTCCATTGGTCAATAATGTAAAATCAAGTCATTCAGCCTGTCTCGGAATCATATTCTGCTTCTTTTGATGCTTCCTTATTATATTGCGTTATGTTTTTATACTGTTTGCTTATATAAATGCTCTTTGTTTATATATTTTATTCTTCTATCTTCCTGTTTGCGCTCTCCCTTTGCTGCTGTAATGTTGCAAATTTCTCGTATCATATCGTACTGTACCATATTGCATCGTACCGTATCATACTGCATCGTATCGTATCATATCATACCATACAGTATCGTATTGCTTCACATCATATTGTATCGTACCATATCATATTGAATCGCATTGTATCGTATCGTATTGCATCATATCGTATAGTATCGTACCGTACCATACCATATCTCATCGCATCACATCACATCGTATCGTACCATATCATATTGCATCGTATCACATTGTACCGTACCGCATTGTATCGTACCATATCGCATCGCATCATATCGTATCATATTGCATTGTATTAGGGTTGGGTCGGTTCTCGGTAATACCAGTTTGGTTCGGTACTCCGTCTTGGACCGGGTTTTTTTTTTTTTTTTGAGACTGACCGGACCGACTCCGCGGAGGTCCACCCGGACTAAAAGCGAACGTCCGCAAGCCCTGTGCGTGCAAAGCTCAGATTTTACGACCGGTACCAAAAATCCAGTATGACCGATTTAATGCTTTTTTTTTTTCACAAAAACCGGACAGTTTTTTTTTCCCTCATAATGACCCAACCCTACGTCATATCGTATCATATTGCATTGTATTAGGGTTGGGTCGGTTCTCGGTAATACCAGTTTGGTTCGGTACTCCGTCTTGGACCGGGTTTTTTTTTTTTTTTTGAGACTGACCGGACCGACTCCGCGGAGGTCCACCCGGACTAAAAGCGAACGTCCGCAAGCCCTGTGCGTGCAAAGCTCAGATTTTACGACCGGTACCAAAAATCCAGTATGACCGATTTAATGCTTTTTTTTTTTCACAAAAACCGGACAGTTTTTTTTTCCCTCATAATGACCCAACCCTACGTCATATCGTATCATATCGTACCGCAACGTACCGTACCGTATCTTTAGGGGGCTCTGTAGGCTATGGTGCTATATATACAGTGCCAAAATAACAATCATGCAGTCATCTGTAGTTTTCAAATACTGTGAATGCTCAAAAGCTATAAACCTGTTAATCATTCAGTCTTAACCCCTAAAATGTGAAGTCCAACATTAAGATTTTTTCTGTCAAATCAAAACAAAACAGACACCTAGAAGTTGGACCTCCTCTTCAAAAGTTCAAAGTTCCTCCAAAGATCAGCTGGTTAAATCTCTGTGGTTTAAAGCAGAAAACAAACACTGTCACCCATGCAGCAGAGAAGTCGTCAGTGACGAGTTTCCCACTCTCCACGTCACGGTCTGCTGTTTGCAGTTTATTAATTCCACAAAGTGCTTAAAGAGTGATGCATCTGTCTTTCAGTGTGTCTCTGGCTGAACAGCTTCCTGACTCGACCGCTCATTAGTGGACATTACCACCAATCACACATCAATATTGATGGTAAGTGATGTTACTCAGCCGCTGGTCTGTTTCTGTCTAAATGACTTCAGACAGATCCGGCTTCCTGTTAAAAAGTGTAATCCAATGAGATGGTAGTCAGGGAGAGAAAGACAGTCAGACTGGATGGCAGATGTAAGATCTTTTTAAAGATGTGTTGTGGGTATAAATCTCTAAAAACTCGACCTACAGGGTGATAAAAGGTAAAGTAACAATAAACTATGCACCTGATGTTCTCTGTATTGATTATCTTGTTACTTTTCAGCTGTTGATGCACAGAAATAAATAATTAATGTGTGTTTTCCTGACAAAGACAGACCGAGAGCAAAGAGGAAGGAGACACTGAGGAAGTTTAAGGAGGACAGATCAATTGATTGACCGACGGAGAGAGTGACAGGTTGTCTGGACAATTAGGATTTAGTGGTGACATTTGACTGTTGAGTCCATTCATTCCTATGAGAGACAGTTTTGGCCGAGGTCTGGTCGGCAGCAAAGACAGAGAACATGAGGAAACTGTAGTTTTCTCTTGTCATAAAAACAGAAAGTGAAAGCTCAATTCACAATGAGCTATTATTTTTTTTTGTCCATGATAAACATTCAAACTTAGAAAAAACGTGATAAAATAGGAGCATTAGCTTTACCCGGGTGTCTTCAGGATGCTTTTTAAGACATCTTTGAGATAATTTTTAACCAAATTTAAGACTTTTCTTATTCAAGCACTGTAAGTAAGTACAAAGATGGTATACAGAGGTAGGTTTTATTTAGGAATATAACTTTTAAAGTGAGTTAGCTTAATCTATATTCAATCTCTAAAAAGATCCTGCTGATGTCTGCAGAATCTGTCCGCAACGGGACAAAAGTTGTTGACTAGGGATGTACTGATGTGAAATTCTTGGCCGATACCAATACCGATGTTTAACATAACAATTTGGCTGATAGCTCATACCTGTGTTTTTTGTTGCTGTTGTTTATTTTGTTTTTGTTATTATTTATTCCCCTTTTGTGCCACAGAAACAAAGAAATCTTCACTTAGATTCCGCCTCCATTACACCACCTTTGAACAAGCACAAATTAAATCACGCATTTATGAAACAACCTTTAAAACGATCTTCGTTCACATGAAAAATGTTGTTTTTAAAGACATCTTCAAACGTATTTTTACGATATATTAGAGGTGGGAATCACCAGAGGCCTCATGATACCATATTATCGCGTCACAAAACAATATTATTGCAATATGCTGAATACTGCAATAAAATATACTGCGATTTATTACCTTTTTTCAACTGTAAATTGTGTCCCCAAAATTATAATTAGTATTTGTAATATTGGTAATTTATATGATGATAAAAAAAATCAATACTTGGCACAGTGTGTTGATACGATATTGCCACACAAAAATAATATATGTAATAATATATATTATTATTACTCAGATATTTGTTTTATTTGTTTTTAGAGATTAGCCAACAGGACAGGAGCACAGAAGAATTAGTCTTGGCTCCTTGATCTGCTGGCTACACTAGCTCAGCCCTAAATATCGGCCCTTGCCCCCAGAGGCTTTATCGTTGTCTGAAGCTCGCCGATGGGTTCCAGGATTTATCTACGTTTTGCCAACAGGTGAGTGCAAATTCAAAGTAAGAGGACAGTTGCGAGGCAGAGTACAGAGAAGGTCATGAGTCCTACCTTCCACCAGCTCGTCCATACTGGTGATCTTCTTGCTGCCATCTATAGTGTAGATCGTGCGCACCCCTTGCGGCAGATGCAGGTTATCCGCCAACGAGCGCGTCAGCTCCATCAGCAGCGCGTCATAGGAGCGGAACCGGTCGCTGGAAACAGCGTACACCAGACCCTTGAAGTACCGGTCTCCATTGCGGTAGAACCGGACCTTTTTGGCCCGCTTCTCCGAGGTGAGCGCCTGCAGGGTTCGGGTCCGGTAGTAGCTGCAGTTGGCACTGTGGGCAGGGCTTGGGACCAGGCTGCTGCCCCGGGAGCTGGGGCCAGACCCCCCGCCGCCAGCGCTGGCGGTGGAATCATCTCTCTTAGTGCGCGTGGAGCGTCCCCGACGAACCTTCTCGCGTTCATCGAAGTGCTCCAGCTCGAGGGTCTTACTCAAAGACATGGTGAATACTGGTCCGGTGGCGTTCAACAGAGACCCTGCTACGAAAGATTCATCTTCCGAGTATGATAACAGTGACTCTTGTCCTGGTTACCTGGTTTTTAGCTCGGATACCTTGAGTCTAGTTGCTGTGTAGTCCCGATCAGATGTGTGCTAAGCTTGGTGACTCACTTGTAGACCCAGTAGCTAATAACTGTTCTTTTACCACAGTAGTTTTATAATCCCATTCAGAGCGATGTAGAACCAGTAGACACAGTAATCTGGCTGTCGTCCTCAAAACACGGTTTCAGATTCTCAAAGACCAGCTGTAATCCCTGTGATGTTCAACATGCAGACCTCTAACATGCTTTGTAGCCCAGCTGACCCCCAAAAGATGGTATTTTTTAGGTGTCTGGTCCTGGCTGCAGGGTTTCTGTAATCCAGTGTAGTCCCAGTATCCGTCTGCAGATCAGGTAACCCTGTTTTAAATCCAGTGGTATCCTACTGTGTTAATACTATAAACAGTCCTTTCTCCACCAAAAGAATTCTAAAATTCAGCTATTTCATTGATGCTTTAATCCGGAGAGACCAGGTGGGGTTTCTAACTAAAGGCCACTTTGACACCGCTCATGTTAGTGGGGCCGAAATTCAGACATCTACTCTCTACTTTGCTGATTTGTCCTCACAGTGACCTTCCTGCAGTGTCAACGACCCAGTAGTAACCCCGGTGATCTGGCTCTAAACCCAGCACATTGTAGCGCAGACCTGGTTCAAGCCTGCTGAGCCCCAGCAGTCCCACTTTACACCTGGCACGATGCTTTGCAGTCCTGGTAATCCTGGTAATCCGGTCGGTTTGGGGGTTTCTGTCTCAGTCACACTCCCAGCATCCTCCAACATCCCTCCATCACTGATGAAAGAAGAGGAGACAATCACATGGTTCACTGACAGGACAGATCTGACAGATACGCAGCCGGCACATTCAGCCTTCACATATCTCTCCTGGTGCAGGAAGAGGTTCAGGAAAGATTTCAGAATACCGAACACAGGCTTGATTTAAATAAGGTGTAATAATGAGCACAGTTCCTTGCAGACTTCCTCCGGACATCATCTCTGCGTCCCACAGCTTCTGCATGTACATTATTAATGTATCCAGGCAAATCAACCATGCATAAGAGGTTTTAAGCAAAATAAAACCACCTTGCTTTAGTGGAATTAAATTCCCTGCAAGGCCAGAGTGAGAAAACCCCACTGATTTGCAGTCAGACTGAATTTACCTGCAGCCAGGAGCAAAACCCGAGCTTCAGCATCAAATGATGATGAAACCTGTGAGCTGTTAGTCTCTGTCTTTATCTGATAAACGAATTGACTTTATCCATCTATCCGCCCAAACACTGCTGAGCTGTGCTGACAGCGCCATTCACACACACACACACATACACACACACACTGAGAGGGAGGCACCTACCAATAATGCCGTGAAACCGGTTTGTTGCTATGGAGGCTTTCTCCTCTTCCCCCCGGGCCAACCGGCGCCGTGTTCGGGTCTGCTCCGGTGGATCCAGGCGGACTGAACCGCTACGACCGAGCCGACCCGGTCCAAGCCGGTCCGCTAACCTGGGATTCAGGGATGCAGCGGCGGCAGGCTACACCGGCGGTGGACCGGGATGCACCGAGACAGGCGGCGGACAGCAGCATGGCCGCTGCAGCAGAGGGAGGAGAGACCGGCTAAACACCCCCTCCCTTCCCCTCCTCTCTCCGCTCGTCCGCGGCTGTACGTGACGACAGAGTCCCTCCCTCCCTCCCTGTCTCTGTGTCTTTTGTCTGAAATTCAAATACAGTTAGTTTTATTGTCCAACCTGCTGCAGCTAATAATAAAACACCCATACAGCCCTATAAATATACAATAACATAAAACATATGTCAGAAACACATTTACATTT